AAGAATACCGACAATACCCCCTCTAGCACCTCAACGAGAGGGCTGCACACATTAGAGGTGGCGTAAATCGGTTTCTCGCGACGTGTTACCCCTATATCTGATAGAAAATTGACGAGTTTTGATGAAAGATTTCTGCTTAAAAGTTGGTGTGTGTGTGCTTGCTTTTTATTCCCCCCCAGAAAACGCAGGGACGTACCATGCAACACCAGGGTAGCGATTAATCCACCACGTCCCTCCAATACCTGCCTGACGGTCAAAAACACGAAATTGGTCTGTTCCAAGCTGCTGCTTCAATTGGCAGGCCGCGGCAATGCCCGACGCCCCGGCGCCGACAATAACGACGGGGTAGTACGTATAGGCATTTTTGTCGTAGCCGTTGACTCTTCGGATCGAATCTGTAATCATTTTGGCGAGTTGGTTGGGAGAAGGATCGACATGCAACGCGGGAGAAAGTTGGGCTAAAGTATCGTTGGATGGAAGGTCGGATGGTTCAAGTATGCAGCAGTAGTTGTGCTGCTTTAGCCGAAACCTTGCAACAGGCTTAGGTCCAGGGTTTTCAGGTAATAAGTCTACGTGTTCCTGTTCAGCAAAGGAAGAATGGGCTGATTCCTGGGGCTGTTGGGCGGTGGAGCACGTCTTTTGTCGGCTCCATGGACTGTTTCGACTAGGTGATGCAACTCCAGCGAATGGATGGCCAAGACTTCCGTCTCGGTATCCAATCGAAATTGTCAAAGTGCTCGGTTGCAAGGTGCTGACAGTAAAGTTACGTGTTAATCCTCAGCTTACGTTTTGACACAGCAACGGGCTGAGGGACAGGCCCGGCTTTTAACTGCATCAGGAGACGATTCGGTATTGTGGACGCTTTCGGAGCGGAACCTCGGTAGGCTCCACTGGAGCTGCCACGGACAAGGGGGGGGAGGGGGGAACATCTCTCAGCCTGAAGACGAAAAATGCGAACCATAATAGGTTGCCGAGGCGCACCTGAGCGTCAGAGCCGTGTACTTGTACTTGTGCTTGTAGGGGCAGGCCTTTTCCCCGCAAAATCGACGTAATCCCGGAAGAAGAGCAAGTGCCGAGTCGGTCGAGAGGCAGAGTCGGGTGCCGAGATGATGTTGGACGAGGCGCTGTCACGTGGCTACGCGGCTGGGGCACGGACGGCGCGAACCTTGGCTGCTCGCGACCTTGGCCTCATTGAGGGTATCGAGCCTTCAGTCTTGACCTTCACCACCGACAGGCCAGAGCTGGGTGGCAGAGGCCCAACGCTTCCAACGATATCATGAGTCGGCTCTGAACGGCAAATCTGGTTCCTGAAGCTCCTGGCCCGGGCTTACATCAGCGCGATGAACACTATCGACGGCTCAGACCGTCATGTAAAGACAGAAGAAGGCAAGACTTGTCGACCATGGACCCGTGGTATCGCGGCTAATGCCTCCCAGCACCTCCGCCTTCGCTGCTGGCCATTGTGCTGGATACCAACCCACATGCCTGGGCGCACCTATCGTCGACGCTCTCGCTGTCGGCCGCCCTGGCCAATATCCTGGTCTTTATTAACGCGCACCTGGCGTCCGGCAACACCAACGAGGTGGCCGTCATCGCATCGCATTCGCACAAGACGACGTTTCTCTACCCATCGCCGACGAAGCCGCAGCGGCAGCCACGCCATGGCGCTACCAATGGGGACGTGGAAATGAATGGAAACGGGAATGGCCATGGGCAGCATGCGGCTGAAAGCGCGAACAAGTACCGGCCGTTTGCTGTAGTGGAGAGCACGATACTGCAGAACTTTGTCAAGCTGCTGAACGAGACCAAGGAAAGCCACCTGGAAGCGACGCCCACGACACTGATCGGTGGTGCGCTCTCTCTAGCGCTTACGCACATCAACAAGCAAACTATTCTACATGCGCCAACGGCTGCCTCTGCCGAGAGTGCTTCTCTCGCAGCGCTCGCCGACTCGGAGAACACGCACGTCGACCGAGTGTCCCTCACGTCTCGCATCCTCATTGTATCTGTGTCTGGCGACCTAGCCAATCAATACATACCCGTCATGAACTCGATTTTCGCGGCCCAGAGGAAGCGGATACCCATCGACATCTTGAAGCTTGCTGGTGACACGGTTCTGCTGCAGCAGGCGAGCGATGCGACGGGAGGCGTGTACATGAAGCCGGAGCGGCCAGAGGGTCTGCTCCAGTATCTGATGATGGCATTCTTGCCCGATGTGACGGCAAGATGCAGCCTGGTGGTTCCCAGCGCTGGCGGAGTTGATTTCCGGGCTGCGTGCTTCTGTCATCGAAAGGTTGTTGACATTGGCTTCGTGTGCAGTGTGTGCTTAAGCAGTAAGGCGGGCTCCCTGGACGTGGCGTTGCGGGAAATGCTAATGTGGCGTAGTCTTCTGCACGCCTGATCTTGCCGAGAACCTGTGCCTCACATGCGGTTCTTATCTCTCGCTACGAAGCGCAGTGACCAAGGCGCCGGCGCTGATTCCACGGAAAAAGAAGAAGAAGAAGAAGAAGGCCGGGATGGACTCTGCGACACCAGGGGCGAATACTCCGGCAGGGTCTGGGACTCCTGTGCATCCTTGAAGGGCGAGGCTTTGGCAGGTTTACAGCTATCATTGACAGTGCATGATTTAGCGCGACCCAAGTGCTGTGAAGCGTGCATGCATATCTGCGACCGTTTGTTCGGAGCGTGGTGCGGGCTAGCTCGGGAGAGGAATGTGGGATACTTGGCCGACGGGCAGACGGGGCTATCAAGGGGACTCGACAAAGGCGGCTCAATCAGATTGGCAGTCGGGCAGACAAGGAGCCAAGATAGCGCGTGGCTGCAAGGCAACGGAACCATGGTGCGGTCTGGTCGCTGGCGTGGATGCATGAGAAAAAGGGTCTCGAATGATTTCGCCTTGGGACCATGGGCGGGTTGGGCGTGGCTAATTGGCCAAAGACATGGGCTGCGGGTGCTCTGTGAGAGGTGCAGGATTCAACGTCATTTCTGGCCCTTGTCTGGAGAGGGCGTGTACATGTACGTGTAGACTAGCGACATGTTGGAGACCAAGCTCATCAAAACCAAAACCCTCGCCGCCGTAGTACAATCACACATGGCAGGTCGCGCGCAGCTTCTTCGCTGATCGCATAGCTTGTAGCGTCGTTTGGGTGGCAGTCTTGGCCGCCATGGCCACGCGTGTCCGAGGTTTCAGGCTGTTTGGCAGCGGGCTCGCGTACCAATGGGTGTAGTGCAGGTCCTCAGCTATAAGGACCCCTGCGTGATAGCCGTGTAGTGTATACTTTACAGACAAGACTCGGGGGCAGGCATGGGCCACGGTGGCCGTGACATGGGGACGCGTGCATGTCAGGGCCAGAGCGGGGCCACAAAAGCAACGACGGGCGTCTGCACGACGGACGGTTTGGGGCAGACGAGGCGAGCGAGGCTATGATGCAGCACGGCGGTATTGGTATCGGTATGATGATTCGCAAGGGGGGGCTTGGGGAGGCGTGGGAGGCGGAGGAGGCGGAGGCGCGAGAAGTAAGTGAGAGATAAGGAACGGGCAAGCCACGGCGGCGGGTTGGCCCCCCTCCCCCCCTCCCATCCCCCCATTCCCCCATTGCCATTCCATTGTCGCGCAACCAGACGACGACGATGTTGACGACGAGGCGTCTTGTGCGGAAATTAGACCCTTCCCGGACACGACGTCCAGGTGCATCCATCTCCTTTTATGCCAAGTGCCGGGCTGTGTGGGGGAGCGCATGTGCTTAGCACACGTTCGATGTCTCTCTGATCGCCGCCATCTGTGGGCGACGACGGCCGCGGGCGCCGGCGGGCCTATCAGCCCAGGCCTTGTTATCACCACCCTTGCTCCAGCTGTTCGAGCACATGTGTGTGTGTGCATGTTTCGGCGGGCGGGCGCTCCCCCTGCAGGCGCTGGCCCTAATGCCAATGCCATGGCAATGGTGGTGATTATTTTTTGCTTGCCGTGGCTGCAATATCGCCTGACATGCATGCAATGCCACCACCATCCACTCGCTCGCTCTCGCACTGGCACTGGCTCTCGCTCTCGCACCACAACCGTCCAAGCGTCATCGCCTCGCCTTGTCACTTGCTGCCGGAAACGGGCCCTCTCTCTGTCCCTCACCCTCGCCAGTAAGCAGAGAGTCCCGCCGCCTATATACCCACTCGCACTGCATCGCTGCCCCGTCCAACGCGCTCCCGCCTTCCTTTCTTTGCTTCTTCCCGCCCACTCACTTGCTTTCGCCTGTCCCCGTCTGCCCATCATCATCATCATCATCCTCACCATCATCTCGGATCGCCGCCCTCCACCACCTCCTCCACCACCTCCTCCACCACTTCCTCCACCACCCCCTTTGCAGCCTTTCCGCCTTTTAAAACAGATACGCGTCTCCAAGACATAGACGGCTGGGAACCGCCCGCGCGCCCTGGGCACAAGCCGGACGCTGCCAATATCACCCTGTTTAACTCACGTATATACAAACATATATATCCACGCCCGGACTCGAAACACCCGTCGAACCCGACGCGAACCCGAGTCATAGTCGCACAAACTCCAGCATGAATCCCGTCACGTCGGGACAGGATCCTACCGTCCCTCTGGAGCCTTTTACCAACACCACCAGTGCCACGGGCGGCGATTCGAGGTTATACAATCTCAATGTCTTCTACAGCGTGAGTGTTGCTCTTGGCCACCCATCAACCAGAAAAAAAATTACCTACCCTACCATGGTTGCGGCCCCAAAGTTGCTGGTGGGGACGCGGGGCTAATCTGGACCTCTCTAGTCGGGCGATATCGCCTGGATGATCACATCAACCGCCCTCGTGCTTCTCATGATCCCGGGCGTAGGGTCAGTCTTCTGTATTGCCCAGACCACCAAATGCACCCTAGACTGATACATCGAGCAGCTTCTTCTACTCGGGCTTGGCGCGCAGAAAATCTGCACTGTCGCTGCTATGGCTGTCGGTCATGGCCACGGCCGTTGTTTCCTTTCAATGGTTCTTCTGGGGTTACTCGCTGGCCTTTTCACACAAGGCCGGCAAGTATGTTGGCGCGCTCGATAACTTTGGCCTCATGAATGTCCTGGGCGCCCCGTCGGTCGGAAGCCCGCGTATCCCTGATCTGCTCTTTTGCGTCTACCAGGGAATGTTTGCCGCCATTACGTATGTGCCTTGAATGTTGATACCCAGTGCCGCATACATACTAACATGTGCATATGCAGTGTTGCACTTGCTGTTGGCGCCGTGGCCGAGCGAGGACGCATCCTCCCGTGCATCATCTACATGTTCATCTGGACAACCATCATCTACGACCCTATTGCATGCTGGACATGGAACCCCCAGGGCTGGGTCTTCAAGATGGGCGGCCTCGACTTTGCTGGCGGAACCCCCGTGCATATTGCATCTGGATGCGCTGCCCTCGGCTACTCGTACATGCTGGGAAAGCGAAGTGGCCACGGGACCCAGGAGCTCAATTACCGCCCTCATAACGTCACCCACATTGTCATCGGCACCGTGTTCCTCTGGGTTGGCTGGTTCGGCTTCAACGCCGGCTCAGCGCTGTCGGCTAACCTCCGCGCCGTCATGGCGGCTGTGTGCACAAACCTTGCCGCTTGCGTCGGCGGCATCACATGGTGCCTTGTCGACTACCGCCTGGAGCGCAAATGGTCCACGGTCGGCTTCTGCTCTGGAGTCATTGCCGGACTCGTCGCAATCACGCCTGGTTCCGGATACGTGCCTGCCTGGGCCGCCGTCGTCTTTGGTGTCTGCGGAGGCATTGCCTGCAACTACGCTACCAAGCTCAAGTACTTTCTCCGCTGCGACGACGCTCTTGACATTTTTGCCGTCCACGGCGTCGGCGGCTTCATTGGCAACATTCTCACTGCCTTTTTCGCTGCGTAAGTCACTGATAGTATGTAAAAAAAATTATGCCAAGCTAACATCCCACAGTGACTACATTGCCCATCTCGATGGCTACACCGTCATCACAGGCGGCTGGCTCAACCAGCACTGGGTTCAGCTCGGCTACCAACTCGCCGATTCGTTTAGTGGTGGTGCTTACTCTTTCTTCGGCACCTGCATAATTCTTGGCGCCCTGGATTTCCTCGGCCGCTTCATGCCTGCCCTGCGTCTGCGCGCCACCGAGGAGGAAGAAGCCGCCGGTATCGACGATGTTGAAATTGGCGAGTTTGCCGTGAGTCCTCTTTTTTTTCTCGACCATGTTTCTGTATACTAACATAGACATGGCAGTACGACTACGTGGAGCTCACGCGCGAAATCAAAATCCCAGACGACGATGACGATGACGAAATCATTGACGAGAGCGTCTCGACTCACGGCCTCGAGGGCAACGGCGCTGGCATGCCCATTTCCAATCACAATCAGCATGAGAAGAACCATGGTTCCATCGATTCGTCTGGTCAGCTGGCAGAGTGGGCGCATAGTCATTAACATGTGGCTTTTTTTTTCTCTTCTCATGTCATCTGACATCTAATACATGCTAGTGTTTCTCTTTTTTTTGTTTATATACCATTTTATCTATCTATCCATCTACCATTTTATCTATCTATCCATCTACCTTTTTATCTATCCATTCATCTATCTACATGAACGAATCTTCTTTTTCAAGAAAGAAAGAAAGAGAAAGAGTTGAATGTCAAATAATGATAGATGTTGTTATTTTCTTTTCCCAAAGAATTCTTGTTTATTATATACCATTTTATGATTTTCTAGTTTTTCGCCAAGGACAAGGGGTATTCACTTCTCATTGTTAATCGACAAACTTGAACAGGATAGTAGAAGCCTGTTCAAGTTTGTCGATTAACAATGAGAAGTGAATACCCCTTGTCCTTGGCGAAAAACTAGAAAAAATTATATATCATTTTTTCTCCGCTAAGTTGCATGCTTTGGCTTCAATCAATCAATCTATGTACATGTCTAACCCCCCCCCCTTGCCCTTTTCTTTTCCACTCCACTCCACTCCAGTCTATTCCATTCCATTCCATTCCACTCTATTTTTCAATCCGTTTCCAACACCCAACCTACCCCAACCTAACACTGCACCCAACCCAGGATCTTGATTCCATGTTCGCTACAGCAATGGAACACATGAAAAGAAGAAGAAGAAGAAGAAGAAGAAGAAGAAGAAGAAAAAAAACAGGGCAGAGGGAAATATTCTCAGTGTAATTCTCAGTGTAACTGTGTATGTTGGAATATCTATGTATATGTTTATGTTTATGTTTCTATCTATGTTTATGTTTATGTATATGTATATGTTTATGTCTATGTGTACGTGTATGTATACATGTTTATATATATATGTGCGTGTGTATGTGTATATATATATGTATATGTATATCTACAGCTGTCTCTGTCTCTAACTATGTCTAGCTCCATCTTTCTATCTATCTAATGTACATACACACACACACATATATATATATATATCCATCTATGCTTATACTCGAGTACATGTATGAAATAGCAATAGCAATAATAATAATAATGGTAACAATGATAGTAATAACAAGCAGCAGCAGTAGTAGCAGCAGTAGTAGTAGTAGCAGTAGTGGTGATGTTAGTACCACAAGATACACACACACACACAGAGAGAGAGAGAGAAAGAGAGAGAGAAAGAGAGAGAGAAAGAGAGAGAGAGAGACGCACATATGCACTTTATATTATTATAACCTAGTTATTTATTATTATAATTTACCTTTGAGCCTTATAAAACTACCTACATTTCTACTTTGACCTTTTAACTAGCATTGTGACCAACTACCACTACCACCACCACCACTGCCACTATCCTCTCTCTCTCTCACACACACACACACACACCACCCTTAACAAGCCTTTTGTTTTAAAATTTCCCTCTCTCTGTCTTCTCTCCAACCCATCCCTACAGGCAGCCAGATAAAAAAACATCATGACAGTGCCTTTTTCTAGAGGTAGGCAGGTAGGCAGGTAGGTATTTGATATGATGTGATGTGATGTGGCCCTGACACAAAATCTTCTTCTTGTTGTTTGTTTGTTTGCTTGCTTGCTTGCTTGCTGCTTCCCCCCCCTGCCATACACAATGCAAGAAGAAGAAGAAAAGAGCAGAAAAAAAAAGAAGAAGAACATATGGAGCTGTACAGAAAAAAAAAGAGAAAGAAAAGAACAACTCCCCACACGCTTGGTTTCCAAAAAGGAAAGGGGAGAAAAAAAAGGGAGAAAAAACAAGCCCTTTAGCCCGCTGCTGCTCCAACACCATTCGTGTCCATGGGACTGCCGCCTCCACCAGCGTTGGAGCCATTTGTTGGCCGTCTTCGTGCTCGGATGGCCTTCTTTCTTCGCTCTGCCGGTGTGCCCTTGCCTCCTTCTGCCACATCCACCATGTTGAGATCATCATCATCAGGCCTATCTGCATCTTCGTCGTGTTCTTCCCAGTACCTCCTTGTCTCGTCCAGTTCCGTCACGTCGGCAGGCCGCATCCGTAACCATTTCATCCGAGGTCCTGACCGTGCGCGCTCGCTGACGCGGAAGCCGTAGATTCGTGGCTCGTATATACTGCCCGTGCCGAGCCCAGGTGCGAGGTTGTGCGGTGCAACGCCGTTTATTGACGTGACATTCGAAGGCGTCGTGTTTCGCGACTTGCCGTCGCCGCTTTGCGATTGTAATTGTTGTAGCGCGTCAATAGTGTTGGACGTGTTGTTGCGCAGCCCGCCGCCAATGTCGAGGTCGGTGAACGTCATGAAGAAGAGCGAGGGAAACGTCGTGCCAAAGAATGCGCCATCGACGGTTTGGAACCGCGAGTTGGGTGGCGTGTATACGTCCAAGCACGATGGGCAGAACAGCTTGACCGTTTCGTGCCCGGGGCTGTCGTTGAGCCCGACGGGGAGTACTTTGCACGAGTTGCAGTGCACACGTGGGCATGTGCCAAAGTGCTGAAGCTCGTACTTCTCGGCCATCTGTTGTATACCAGGTCGCGAAGTAATGTACCGTTGATGTATGAGTCCGTAGAGAAGCTCCGCAGAGCTTTCAATCACGCTGAGGTCGGACGCTATCCGCAGGTGCCTTCGATCGCCTGCGCGCCGATAACCCGGTGCCCGTTCATCGCCCAGGACCTCGTCTTCCTCGTCTTCCTCATCCTCTTCCTCTTCGTCGTCCTCGTCATCCTCGGGTTCGACATCCAGGATCATCTCCAGCGCTTCCTTGTACATGGGCACCTGTGATTGCAAGCCTGTCAGGTTGAAGTCATCCTCGATGAAGTCCTCCGACACCTCAGCAAAGTATTCGTGGCCTAGCAGCCCGCAAAAAGACGCGATCCACGACTCGGTCACCTGCGAAGACGACGACATGTTGCCTGTTGTGTGTGTAGGTCGGTACTGCTATCTAGGCGGGGCTCGAGGTGCTGTGCGCAGTCGCAATGCGTGCGTGGGTGCGTTGCAAGGGACGAGGGGCTCGAAAATGCGAATGTGGGGGTAACGGTCTGTTGTAGTGATGAGAGCCAACAGCGGGGGGCTCCAGGCGGCTGGTGAAGGTGAGGAAACGGGTATTGCTCCAGAAGCTGCGCTTGCAGCCTTATGATCGCATGTGTGTTGGTTTCGGGGTGTGGGACGAGGAAGGAGTCGGCGGTAGTCGTAATCCAGATAAACCCGGTGGGGGAGGGGTCGAATGAGCGCAAAGCTTGACGCTAGGTGCGATGGAGTCTTTTGGGGCTAGTTGGATGTGCCTTGTCGGTGTGGTCAATTCTCTGAGCGCCCCAAGTGCATGGGTGAGGCCGTGTTTGGACAGGTGAAGATTAAAGGTTGCCCTGGCCGCCCGAGCTTAGCGATCGTGCAGGCCACGTGATCTCTCACATGCCCTTCCTGCTTGTTTCACCGCTTGTCACACGGCAGTCATTGGACAAACGAGACAAAGTGAAAGTGTGTACTATTAAAAGACATACGGCTAGAGACTTCTAGAACAACTCTCTCATGATACGTGCCAGTTCGTCATTTTCTTGCCCAAACCCGTTTACAAACTCCCCATTAGCGCTCGAAATCTCGCCCGACGATCCTCCAAATCCATTGAGATTGAAGATGCCACCCGCAGCTTCAAACAAAGTCGTAAGGTCACTCGCCATTCCGTGCGGCGTATCTAGCGTGTTCCCGTTGCGGCTATTGGAGAAGAGTGCCAGCTCATCTATCGAATGGCCTGCCAGGCCTGCCATGGCTACAGCGGCAGACGAGTGTGCATCATGAGTGTCCTCGTTGCGTATGAAAAGCCCAATGCGCGGCCCGACCTCCTTCATCGTCTTTATGGTCCTCCATAGGCGCTTCGAGACGTATGAGTTTGAGGAAAGGCCTCGCACAAGATCAAGAGCCATGTAGAACTCATCTCGGGATTGCTGGCTAAACTCGGCTGGTGCGTGGGCGACAGCAAGGAACAACACTGCTAGCGCCGATATGAGAAAATAGTTGAACATGGTCTGCTGACATCTGTAAATGTCTGATGTCTGATTGAGATATGTCAGTATCCGAATCGTGTCCTTGGCGACCTTGACGACAACGTGTGCAAAATCCAAATTCTCCATAATAGTAGTTACGGTGTGCAACACAGGTCTGTAGATTAGGATCCGCATTTGGTTCGCCCGAAGGTAGAGTACTACTTGCAATCGGTGGACCAAGCGTGGCGGAGGGTCGATTTGCCTACCGCTATCAGGGTGGACAAACTTCAAAGACTCTGGGATGCTGCGGTGCCAGTTGAGGACTTGAAAATCCAGGAAGGAAATGTCTTCCTTGTTAATCTTATCCTGGTGCCCCACGTCAGCAACCGACCGCCATACCTTTGATCCGATGATCGAGTAGGCGATCATCGCGTTAAGATATGGGCTGGATTCGTGAGATAGATCCTGATTGTGTCAGATACTGTATTATATATAGAGCCCTGATTATGACATACCGGCTTGGGCACGTTGCTTTCAATGTCTGAGTCTTGCAAGGCAAACGGCATTCCCGTCCCAAAGCTCCAGCGACGATCAAGAACGTAGATTGTCCAGAACGTGCGAATTGCCACCGCTTGCTCTTCGGGATTGGGAAAGAGAGACGAGTAAGTATCCCGGCGATGCAAGCCCATTTCGAGGCAGTGTCGCGCAGCCAGCCCGCTTATTCGCCAGGCCATTCCTTCGTCATCCCGGGTAAAGTGGTACATGGCCTAATGCTATGAGCATGGTTCAAATCGATAAGACGGCTTTACTCACCGTAAGAACCAACAGGTTGATGCTGTGAAGACTGACAGGCTCAGACAAGGCCCTGTCCACAACCCTGTGTACGTTTGCAAACAGCCTCTCGCCCAGAGGGTCTTTCCCCCCGCCTTCCAGCACCAAGGTAATTGCAAGCACCAACTTCAATGTACTGATTTGTTCGTCCATCATTGCATCTGAGCCAGGAAGGGCACCTTGCATGAGACCCGACCTGGTTGCAGCCTCTACAAAAGTGAACAGCATCTCGGTATAGCGCAGCATCTTGTCGATTTCCAGTATCGGATACATGACGCCCATCTCTTCGTGATAGACATGGACCAAGCGAACAGCCTCGTGTTTCGAAATGGCCCATATCGGGTCTTTGTCCACGTGCATCGGCCGTTTCGACAGCATGCCGTTGGGTGCAGAAGGCGATGCCCTAGGTGTTACGTCGCGGGTCATCTGGCCCTCGTCGTCTCCTTCGTCGCCAGCGTTTATTCCCATGGTTTTCAGGCTTGATCTCGCGACCCCGACATTGAAAGCATTTGACGTTGGCCCATGGAAGCGAGGGTGTTTACTGAAGGACTTGGACCGCGATCGCGACGGCTGAGGCGGTAGCATGGGCGTCTGCTGGTAGTCTTGGGTGAATGGCGTTTCGATTGAGCCATTGCTGTGGAGGTCGACTTGGGTGCGAAGGTTGCTGATGTTGTGGAATAGGTCGTCGACTTGCTGCTGAAGTGAGGTTATATGCGCGGACATCTGCTTGAACCTCGGAAGCTGTCAGTCGCGCTGTTTTTGGTCGGCGCTCGTATCCCATGCTTACTCTTCGCTTTCCTTGAAGTTGTTACAGCAGTTGGGCGAGTACTGGCAGTCCAGGCTGAGGTTTCCGCAGCGCTGGCAGGGCGTCTGGCCATTGCACTTGATCTTCCGGCGCTTGCATTCATTGCACGCGATGGAGATGTATCTGTTGCGCTTGGCCCTCGGCTGCGCAGGCGCATCGTCGCTCTTCCGCTTCGCATTGCTTCCAGAGTCGTTGGAAGGGCTCAAGGCGTCGGTCGCGTTGGCCTTGTCCGCTGGCGTCGTAGAGCTCATGGCTAATTCCGCGCGCGCGCTCCAGTTCCGCCACAGGAAGTGGGCACAAGTTTGACAAGACGTCTGGAGTCGCGGTCTGTGCGTCAGCCGTCGGCGCTTGTGCGGGGAGGCTCAAGCCATCCGCTTTGCCTCTGATGTGATTCGTTGCAGCGGCACACCCCGACATTCATCATTCTGGCCGGCATCTTATCCCGGGAAATATGTAAATGCTGTACGTTACACTGGAAAATCTTCTACATGATACCATCTCTACCTCTGATTTGATTCATCTTCCAGACCAAACTCGTCCGCAACCACGTCCGCCAGCCTCGACAAAATCTCAAATGCTTCTCCATCATGTCGTGCAACTCGTGATGCCTTGATCAACAACGGATACAGCCTGTGGATATGCCGTCTGTTGTCTGACCTCACCCCTGGAGCGTTGGGTATGGCTTGTGGCTCACACCGCAGCTTGTGCAGCTCGTTCAGTACGAAAAGTAGTTCGCGTCTTTGGGAGTCGGGCGCAGGCATACGCCCTCGCAAAGGATGATCTGCTATGTAAGTCTTGAGCGGAAGTGCACACCGGAGAATGAGGTATGGGGCAGCCGCCTGTGCCAACTTGACGTGTTCGGGACTGCTTTCATGCACGGCGACGAGGTTGAAAAGCTCAGAGAGACATGTATAACCCATCTTTGGTCGCCATGTGCACCCAAGCTCGGCAGTCTGACCTAGGCGAATTTTGTAGAGCTCTTCAAGTGGAGCAGTAGCCACATCAGGCAGTTCTCCAGGCAAAGGGCTGTGTATTAGAGACGTTTTGAAGAGATTGCAGGTATAGGTCCGTCGAAGGTTATCTGGAAGCGATGTAGAGCCGAGAGGAATAGTAATGAGCTCCCGAAGCTGTTTAAATGACTCAATATCAAAGTTCTCGTCTTTCTCGAGAGACACGGGAGCGTCGGATGATAGTTGCGCTCGAGTAATGTAGTGAGCGATATCAACTAAATTAGCCCAGATTTCCTTGTTGGAGCCAAGATGTGACAATGCCGGCTTAATAATAGCTATACTTGTCGTCGTGGCTTTCTGCCATAGTGATGGTGCTTTGCCTTCCCGTTGCCAGATGTACTTCTCTTGTATCGGTCGTGCCAAGCTACTCAAGGCATCAGCAAATGCGCTGCTTGTGTAGATTGCTTCTTGATCGATATGCTTGATAGCCGTGTCTTGCAGAAGGGTCATTGAAGCTTTCGATAGTGCGACAAAGGTCGGTCCACGTTTGTCAGGAGACTTGGCCAGTGAGACATAGGGCAGTGTTATGAATCGACCCAACAATCGTATCAGGTACGATGGAATCTCTGAGCCTTCTGTCTTGACTATTGACAAACACTCCAGGACCCGACTCTGGAGGACGGTCATACTATCCACGTCAGAAGAGTAGGCAACTTCTTCTGAGTTGACAACACAGGCTTCCAGATTTGCCAGCATCGAAGGCAATTCCGCAGCAAGTGGTTGGTCGGCAAGATGGTACATTGCTTTGAATGCATCTGCGTAGGCTACAAAAGCTTCCTGGCTATCTTCCTCGTTGTCATCTTGCCATGCATCGTGTGATGGGAAATAGCTCTTCCAAACTACCGCCGTCTTCAGCAATGGCTCGATATTCCATGTAGGGTTGCTTTCAGTTTGAGAAAGAACGCCTGTGATTGTGTTGAAAACCGATGCTCCTAAAGTATGCGAGCGGTATTCAAAGTACCGCTGCAAGAGGTCAAGTAGTTCAGACCATGCATCTCCAAGTTGAGACGCATCCAGTTTCTCCATGTAAGTGATGTTTAGAATGCTCACCGTCTGAAGTACGGCTTTTGTGGTTTGTCCCCAGTCTTTCAAAAGATCTTTCGGTGGTGACTGGGCGCGAACTTCACGCTGTACCTCCAAATTGGCCTTCACCATGTCGAACAATATGGCACAGAGGCAGAGCAACCATGCTTGCGAGGACAGCTGGTCGGAGCAGTTTTCAAAAATCCTCTGGATTGTTTGAATTGCAGAGTTCCGGACTTCAACGCGTTCATCTACAGTGATGGTAGAAAGGTGCAACAACACTTGGAGCCATAGCGCGGAAGTTGTTCCTTTCTGCGAACTTGCAAAGACAGCAAGCTTGACTTCGTCATCCTCACCCAGTATTTCTGGTAATGATGCGAGATTAGTCTGTGATTGCAAGTAGTCCGAGACGTTCCAAAAGAAGGTGATTGCCTGAGTATTGTTAGAAGCGAAGTAGATACACATGCAATGACTTACAGTTAGGGACATGTTGAGGTCCTCTTTCTGAGAGCAGAACCTACGCAAAAGCTCCAAAAGCGTGGAAAGGCAAGCATCTGGGACGACACTCATAAAATCTGAGCAGATAAGGCTGACTGTTACAAATGCTGATCGTGCAAGAGACCTCGATATAACATTTGGGGCATTATTCGTGCGGTTGTCAGCCTCAGAAACCTCTGAATCTTGATTTGGTCCTTGTGTAGAAGGCTTTGTCGTTGCGAATGCACTCATTAGGCTCTCGATGACAGAAGCCCAGCCAGCGACCAACGACTCGCCGCAATGCTCGATCACGCTCTTGAGTGCTTCCAGAGCGATTTGATGGACTCGTATATCCGTTTCGCTGACGGTCTCCTCATGAAGTCCATCGTAGCGATACAGGTGTGCAATCTGTGTCTGTAATGCAGCGAGGATGCGGGCCTGAATCTGTTCGCGCTGTTCATCAGCCATGGAAAGTTCAGCAATATCTCGGACAGTGCGAGCTAGAATGTCAGCGGCAAGCAACCTCGTGGGCGCTGCTTTCTGCCTGTCCGTAGAAAACCGTACAACTTCCTTGACTAAGATATCCCAACCGCTTTCCGCAGGATCGTACTGGGCTAGCCTGCCCTCATTCAGAGTTGCGAGCTCTCCAATCTTGTTTAAAGCAAAGGCCGAATCGCGAGAGTTTGCTTCGGAATTCATGGAGATTCCGGACGCGCTACCTAGGCGCCGCTGGTGCATAACCTTGGGACGACTGGACGTTGTGGGCGTTCTCTGGCCACTTTCCTGCGGCGTGCTATTGAGAAGGGAGCACAACGCTTGCAACACTTCTGAGAACGACTCATTGGGGAAATCAACGGTGCTCTCAAACAGTCTGCGAGCTGCACTCTGTACAGCCGAGGTCTCTGCCTCTAGCTTCTCAGCATTCCCATCTCCATCTGCGCGGTTGGCAAGTCCAGATCCACGGCTGCTGGCCTGGCTCGCTAAGGCCATGACCAGATCGGCTACTTGTAGTGTCTCGAAAACGATCGACCATGCGGAGTTGAGGGTCGGACCCAGTGCAATCGCCAGGTTCAGCAAAGCCCTCAGACACAGCAGGTTCCGAGGACTCAACGTCGGTATTGCCGATTCGTTCAAAGAACTTTTATTTTTGTCTACTGATATTGAGCTTTGACTCACGAAGCTGTCTACGCTGAGCATGGCTTTGGCATTAGCGAAAACCCCGGGTTTGTCGGCCGTAGTTGATGTTGGCTGAGACATGTTTGCCAGCAGCAGATTTGATGGGACTGCTGCTTTGCCCATGGCCGTGAGGAATGCATCCCGTGGTGTCGAGAGTCTGAGCAGTCCGGCGACCTGCGTAAACTTTTGTATCGATCGGACTAGAGCACGGTAGTAGTCGTTGTCGAGCGCAGCATTGAGAAATGTCGAGCATGTGGCAAGGACCGCTGGCCAGCATTCCGTGACCAAATTGGTTGATGTCTGTACAGACGCGTAGGCAGAGTGCTCGGTCAGGTCAAGGGGATCAACGGGTATAGTTTTCTTGCGGAAAGACTGGGTTCTCAAAAGCCGGCGAGAGCCTTCATCCGGCGTGGCACCTTCTACATCGGGCTCGGTTGAGTCCTCAGATTTGTTCTTTTTCCGATTCCGACCTTCGTGGTGTACGGTTAAAGGAAGGACGAACTTGGCCAGACTCTCGGAGATGTTGGTGATACATGTCAAGACCAGACTATAGATATAAGTATCGGGCAAGGTAGGGGGTTCGGACTTGTCAAGATGTTCAATGCACGGAGTTTTCAGGGTGCTCCATTGCGTGCTGATTCCAAAGAATCGAGTATTGTTGCTGTCACTCGCAGGACCACCTATAACGCCAGCTAGGGCACCTGCTTCAGCGACAGCTTGATCAGAGAGCGCCGGCTTTCCATCCTCAAAACCAGTGACTGCTGTTGACTGCTGACCTAGGCCAATGACTGCAGGTTTCTCAGCTGCAAGTCGTACGAAGGCGGCCAAATTGTCACCAAAAACATTCTTCTTTTCGCTTTGTGCGTCAAATAGTGCATAGATGGCCAGAAGCAGCTTAGAATCGGCGTAGATGCTGCGAAATACCTCTAGACAGAGTGCTCTCTTCCATGCCTGAGATGCCTCTGGATCGAGCATGTGATTCAAAAGACCGAGTGCGATCTCGCACTCCGAAGGAAGTATATCAAGATGATATCGAATAATCAGATGGAGTATCCGTATGATGCGTACAGTTACTGCAAATGATAGGCGGTCTGATAAGGAGCGGATAATGAGCGGCATCAGTTGGGACCGCACGATATGTATCTGTTCCGGATGTGTTGTCATGATTGCGTTGTGGTTTGACAATACAGCCTCTATTAGCTCCAGTGTCGAAGCCGGTGGTAGCGCAGAAAATCGCATGAAGACGGGCTTTTCTCCGACAATTAGTGAAACAAGATCGGTGAACATCTAGTCGTGGTTAGAAAGACCAACACTACACGGATCAAAAACAGACCTTGTAAGCATCATTCGCTGCTGGCCTGACCGAGACCTGTCCATCATCTCCTTTCACTTCGGTCACCGTGGGAATCTCTAGAGCCTTTTCTTTACAAGAGGTCAGTGCACAATAAAAACCGAAAAGCCCGGCCTGATCATACCGTCTTCGGATGCGACTCTGTCAAAAACAACAATGACAAGCTGTTGCAGTGTCGCAGCTGCCGTGTTGCTTACGGCAAAGTTTTTCGCGCTCTGCAGGCTTGAGCAGATTTGCAGAACAGATGAGAGTGCATCACCGCGTATCTCTGCAGAATAGTTCTGGAGCAGAGAAGGCAGTGCTTGCAGTATCTTCAACTGGATGTCGTGGCCTAGTTGCATCAGCCGAATGCACGTGGTTCCTGGAGCGGGCGAACTCTACTCGATGATACCGACTCGCGAAGTGCATCCAGAACCTCGGTCAGTCGTTCCCGTGGCAAAGAGCGTGTAACACTAAGTCTCTGGAGGCACGAAACTCCCGTGGATGCGAATTTGGCATTGTGAGTACTGCAGGCAATCAAGAAGGGAGAGATGAAGTGAGGGCGCCGGGACAAATCTTGGACGCGGTCAACACATGAGGGCCTGACGGGCAGCGAGCTAGCTCACCGGCTGAAAGCTGGGCCTCTGAGGTATTCGAGAGCGATTTGAGGTCTTTCAAGGCTGTCTCTGCCGCGTTGCGTAGTTCGGTGTTCTTGCGCTTCGCGTCCTGGATGAGGTTGCCTAGTTCAGCTGCCAGAATTTGTGCCGTCATCCTCTGGGAATGCGCCGGAGCATCGGGACGGGCTGTGCAAGCAAAGGAGCGACTTTTGGGAATCCAAAACGCGGGAGTGGTTGTTGTTGCTGTCGGGTCGACTATGAGAGGCAACGTATAGAGGCCGCGTAGCGGAGATGGCCAAGCGATGGGATCCCTGCTGGTGTAAGGGAAGTCAGGCCCTGGCCCGCTTTGCCTCGTCATATCGTCGCCGCTAAGTAGCCGATCCCGCCAGCGTCTTGAGACCAGCAGCAATCGCCTTCACGTCCGACCGCGTCACAATTGCGCCTGGGTATAGGTTGGCCCGGTAAACGCCTGCACACACTGCCAGCGACAGTCTCGAGCGCTGTTCTCGTCTCCTCACCGCCGCCGCCGCCGACCAATACGTCTCTGAGCGGGGTCCATCCCACTTCCTCACGCGCCCACACCTCCGACGACTACTCACGTACCAACACCGCAGCAATGGGCGCCAAGGTTCCGCGCAACTTCCGTCTGCTGGAAGAGCTGGAGAAGGGCGAGAAGGGGCTTGGTGCCGGTACGGTAGACCTGTCACATGGCCGTGGAGAGCGCGTTGCTGAGCATAGACAGAGGCTTGTTCATATGGTCTTGACAACGGAGACGATCTGTTGATGTCGGACTGGAATGGCACCATCCTCGGCCCACCCCATGTATGCGCTGATGCCCCCCATGTGCCATGTTGCGTATTGACGAGGTGCACAGAGTGTCCACGAGAACCGCATCTACAGCGTCTCGATCCACTGCGGCCCAGACTACCCCGACACGCCTCCGGAGATTAAGTTCACGTCCAAGATCAACCTGCCCTGCGTCAACCCTCAGAACGGAAAGGTAAAGTTGCGCGGCGGCAGCGTCAACGGCGCAGGCTGACAAGGCTAGGTCGACCCGACAAAGCTGCCATGTCTGGCTCAGTGGAAGCGCGAGTTCACCATGGAGACCATACTCATCGAGCTCCGAAGGTGGGAAGACCGAGAGGCAGATGAGATCAAGGCTAATATGCACTAGATACATGGCGCTTCCTCAGAACAAGAAGCTCCCCCAGCCTCCTGAAGGCACAACTTTCTAGCCATACCCCCTTCGTGTGGGCTGTCTCGAGGTTACAGTCAGAACAGAGATGTGACTGGACGCCGAATACAAATGTACGACGGGAACGCTGAAGGTGCATCAGACGGAGTTATGGTCTGCTAGATGAGCCAACGATCTAGCAAAGTGACTACTTAGAACTACGAATAACATGTTTTATGAAACGCTGCATTTCCTCTCTCTCTCTCTCTCTCTCTCTCTCTCTCTCTCTCTTTCCCACGTTTGGGCATTTGTGCTGAGCCGTGTTGGGCACCTACAGTTACACATGGCCGAAGGAAGTGGAAAGACATATATCTACGCCTCGAGGGCATTGGCAGTGAAAATCCAGCACACCATTCCAACCATGTGGCAGATTTGGGTATCGGACCACCACCCAGCCTGTTCGAATGTTGTAGGGCCAATGGCTAGCACGTGACCCTGTGTCATACCTCGTCGAAAGTCTTCGCGCCGCAGCTCCAACTTCGGAACCGCCCTCCACCAGCGAGTGATACCTTGCATGCCCCGCTTCCTCCAGCCTAAAAAGTCGACACAGCACCGTGTAGCAGGTTAGCCGCGTTCCACGATAACAATCAATCTCTATTTCTAATCCCCTGTGCGCAGCAATTGCTCTTTACCGAGCCTTGCTTTCGCGATGTTCTTCTGCTCCGCTCCCCGATGACGACCGCGTCTCGCTCCGCAACGCAATTCGCAACAAGTTCCGCCGGAACAGGAAGATACAGAGCCCCTACCAGCTGGGTTTGAGCTTCAAAGCTGGATACGAGGTGAGCATGGATCGTTGGGGTGATATCTGAACGGTCAATTGACAGGATGCTAGACACTTGACCATCTCGATGCTTCTGCTACAGGCGATGTCGACAGCACCCGCACGCTGACGCACCTGGTATCCCAACTTCCGCGCGCTCTGGTCCGCGCGCCTCCGATAAGGAAATCCCGAGATGCGGCGCCCAAGCAGCCCAACGAACGGCTCGCCTGTCTCCCTCCAGAAAAGGCCGTCCTCAACGTGCGTCCGTACGCGAAGACGTCCGGACCGCGCCACGTCCCGATCATGGCTTCGGCCAACGGCATCCCCTTTCTGCGCCTTACGAAGCCCCAGCCCCCCGCACTGAGCCGCGTGCTGCGCCAGCGCCTGGAGCGCAAGATCGTGCTCTTCGACACCAAGGTCTTGCTCAGCAATTGGTGGCTGCCCATGTGCAAGCAGGAAGACGAGTGGGACATGCTGATCAACGCACAATTGAAAGAGCCCGAGGAGGACACGGTCAGGTGGACGGATGCGATTCGCCTTTCAGAGCGCGAAAACCAGGAGGCATATGAGAAGGACTTGAGGAAGGATAGAGAGACTACGAAGAAAATGCAGACGATTGTCGACTTGGAGACGGAACTGGCGCTGCAGGAGGGACAGACGATTATCCGGGGGAGAAAGAAGAGTCCTATACAAGTAATCAAGCCAAAGCCGTAGCAATATGGGATCCCTATGCCGCAGCGTGTCGCTGTCTAATGGGTATATTCGATTTTTTTTTCATATACACATACATGATTCTCATCATGCTGTTGCCTCAATCTTCAGCTTCTCCACGTCGACACCATCAACATTGTCGTCATCATCGTCATCATCACCCTTTCCAGCCAAGCCCTGCATCCACAGCTCCTTTCCCGTCAACTTTTTCTCTTCCTTGACAACCTTCTTCTTCTTATCCTCGAGCTCCTTCTCCTCTTCCCTGCGGCGCTTCTCCTCTGCCATTTCGGCCCTGAACTTCTCTCGCCAGGCCAAGAAGGATTCGCGTGTTACCGCCTCACCCTGGAACTTTTTGTTCTCCTCCTCCTCGGCTTTGGCGGCCGCCATGTCGGCGAGCGCCTGCTTGGCGTTTTGGCGCTCCGTGATGAGGAGCTCCGCGCTGTCCTTGAGAACCGTTACGAGCGTGAAGACCATGGCCATGCCGAGGTTCTCTTCTATCGTCTCCGCGAGCGAGTCGAGCAGCCGCTGCTTGTCTTCGTGTATGTCGAGGTAGGGGTGCTTGGGCGCATTGGGCGGCTGTGTTATGTCGAGCCTGGGGGCTTCATCGGGGTAGTTGGGCGGGTACGAAACATTGAGGATGATGGTGGCTGCACAGGGTAAGCTGGAGTGCACGCATAACTGGCGCCGCTGTGTCGCATACGCTGGTCGTCTTCGCGCACTTCGTCCTCGTGCCGCCCGTCGTCGAGCTGGACTGAGACTCGGAACTCTGTCTCGGAAACGTCTGCGGCGTGTTAGTACGCGGGTACTAGATCCGGTGCGTTGCGCAACAGCATGCTACCTGTGATTTCGTCTGGGAAGATGGACTCGAGGACTTCCCGCTCCTCCTTTTGCTCCTCGATACCCATGGCAGATGACTAGTATATATGGCGAATTCAACCAGAGTGTGGGCCTGTAGGGTAGGTATGTGCATCCAGTGCAAGTGACGCTGAGGCTGCTTTGGGGCGGGGCGGGCCCTTTCCCCACGTTAACCTCCGACCGCCGATGTCGACAAATAATTTTTGGCGGCTTTGCAACTTTGACAAAATAACAAAAAGTCCCCCTCCAACACCGCTTGACACGCGAAAATGGCCAAAACAAAGCCAGCAGACCGGAAAGCGAAAAAGAGCGCAAAGTCTGGCGCATCGAAACCAAAGGCATCGGCCGAGGATCTGTTGATGCAAGCGGCGACTTTTCTCCAGACGTCACAGCCAGAGGAGGCGCTCGTCGCCGCACGAAGAGCGCTGAACCTACTTCAACCCGGTACCTCGAAGCCTTCGGCAGCCGCGCTGCCCGCCTTGAACCTAATCGGCGAGATCAACGTAGAGCTGGGTGACGCAGATTCCGCGCGCGAAGCATTCCAAGCGGCCATTGCCCTCGACCCACAAGGCGCAAACGATGGCGCCGAAAAATTTCTCTGGATGGCACAATTGAACGAGGAGGGCGGTGCAGAGAGCGTGCAATGGTTCGAGAAAGGGATTGAAGTGCTCAAGAGGGAGATTAGCGGGCTCGAGGGGAAGATGGCCAAGAAGGACGAGATTGAGGAGCTGGTGGAGGAGAAGAGGCAGAAGATTGCAAACTCGCTCTGCGGCATTGCTGAAGTCTACATGACGGATCTATCGTGGGAAGACGACGCCGAAGCACGATGCGACGCCGCCGTCACCGAAGCGTTGCTATTTGCACCAGAGAATCCCGAGCCCCTCCAGACGCTCGCGTCGATACGCATCTCACAACTCAAGCCCGACGAGGCGAGGTCTGCGCTCAGACGAAGCATGGACCTGTGGAAAGACCTCGACCCCGACGATGCAAAGGTGCCCGACTACTCGCTTCGCATCAGTCTTTCGCGCCTTTTGATGGAAGCCGAAATGGAAGACGAAGCGATTGAAGTGCTGGAGCGATTAGTGGGCGAGAACGACGGCAGCGTGGAGGCGTGGTATCTGGGCGGGTGGTGTCTGCACTTGCTAGCAGGGAAGCAAAAGGCCAAAGGGGAGGACAAGGTTGCGACGTCTCTGCTGCGTGCGAGCCGCGACTGGCTGGAAAACTGCCTGAAACTGTACGCAATGCTCGAGTATGAGGACGAACGGCTGAAGGAGCATGCCGACGAGCTCCTTCAGGAGCTAAATGGCGTACTCGGGCCTTCTACGGGGGCGGAGGACGAGGAGGAATGGGAAGACGAGGACGGCGAGGATGACGACGAGGACGAGGACATGGACGGGACGTGAGCATAAAGATGAAGCCATGCAATGCGCCCGACCCAGCAGGCCGTCCCGCCAGCGGTACATGTGGTGGGGGTGGGGGCTCTGCATAGCCGTTCGGCGCGATCAGCAGCATACAGCAGAGCCATGGAAGCGTTCTGGGCCTGGGGCGGGGGATTTGCAGGCGGCTCAGGCTGGGCGCCATGCTGTTTCGGTACCGCGTTTGCTTCGCACGCGCACACGCGCACATGTCGGCGTCGAGACGGAGCATGTATGTACAATAGTTATTGTTGCTGCCCCTTGGGCGCTCGAGGGCTGTCAGCAGCGGTGGAGGCAGCGTGGGACGGACCCTGCAGGCACGAAGGATGCCGCGGTGCAGATGGCTAGGGTAGCTGTCAGTTTAGCGATGACATGTCAGCATAGACGAAGCCACACAGGCCCATGATTGACCACCGGGGGGAGGCGGGCGGGCGTTTGCTTTTTCCGGCTCGATGCGCAAAACATGGTCTGTGTCTGGGTGTGGGTGTGGGTGGGCGGCGCCCTGGGGACTGGATGGAGACAGTAACCAAGCATGCTATACATGGGCGTGCAGGGCGAGGCGATTCGCTGCGTGGGCACAGGCGGAAGGTTTGGGCAGCGCGGATGGGGTGCGAGGTGGATAGCCGTGGTGGTTCAGTCGTACTGCCCAGCGGCGGTCTTAGCATGGCATCGCCGGGGAGGTCTGGAGGCGGCGGGCGCGAGAGGGAGGAGGCAGAGGAGGAGGCAGAGGAGGAGCAGGAGGGGGGGGGGGGCAGGGCCAACTCACCCACGCAGCGGATAGAGAAGATACCAGATCATTCGGGTTCGCGGAGCCTGTCCAAGGGCATGCGCGGGCTGCAGGAGGACGAGGCCTCAGCTGGTGGCTGAGGGTTTGCGACGCACGCTTCGTCGGGGGCGATGGCGAGTGTGGGTGAGCGGCTCATTCATCTGTCGGGGGGCACGGCGCAGGCAAGAGGCCGAGGGCAGCAGCAGCACGAGGAGACGGTGGGCGAGGGCACGGCGTCACTGGCACTTTGCGGGCACATTGAGGGGCGGTCTCGACGAGCATTATTGATTATCCGTGGCGCTCGCGGGTCCGGCGACGTTCTCTTCGCCGCCAAGAGCGGATCACGTCTCATGGCATCGATCGCACCTTGGTGTTACACCTGCAAGCGCCGCCGCCAATGGGCTTGCTCCCCTGCCCGCCCCGCGCATTCGAGGCCCATGGCACGGCCACTGCCCGCCATTGGCTTCTGTCCATCTTCCTGACCATCATCATCTCGGTCCTGCTGTGCTACCAAGCCGTCTTCCAGGCGGACAGTTCCGCCGCCGCCGGCCTGCGCAACCTGCCCAAACATGTGTGGACCTCGACGACCGAAGTCGACGGCGAGCGGCACGCCGATGTCGTCGTGCGCCAGATCTGGATCCACGGCGACTACATGAACGCCATCAACCTGCCCGTGCTGCGCGAGGCGCTGCATGTGCAAAACGCCCTTGTCAACGGCGGCTTCGGCTTCAACGACGACGGCGCTGCCTCGCATACGCATGGGAACACACCGCCCGGCCCTGGCCCTTCCGGCTGCGTCTTCCCCAGCCCCGGCGACAAGTGGGGCTGGCACTCGCCCTTGATGTACTGGAACTGCTCGCTGCGCGCGCTCGAGGAGGATGACAATTTGCTGGGGACCATCAACGCGCACATGCGCATGCGCTCGCCCGTCAACATCACGCTGCGGCCCAGCACCGTCTTCGCTGGCAAGTCGTTTGCCAAGACGAAGCTTCGCGCGGCCGACGCCCTCGTCATTACGCTGTACGATATGTCCAATTCGAGCGTCGGAGACACGTGGGACGAACGAGCACGCCACCTGGCCAAAGAAATATCCCCCGACTGGACCGTTTTCCCCTACGACGCCCAGGCTACGCGCAGCCGCCTGTTTGAGTTCAGATTCAAGCCCATGACGCTCAACGACGACCTGTTCTTGGCTGCGTCATATCTTGTAACTGCAGTGTACGTCATAGCGAGGATGAAACAGTTGCGGGCCGTCAAGAGCTGGTTCGGCCTGCTCGTTACAATATGTATGAAGGTAGGCAGCCTCGCAGCGCCCGCCATTCTTGGCTAACCCCATGGCCAGATGACCATATGTGTAATTGCAAGTTTCACCCTTTGTACCCACCTTGGCATTGATTTGGGGCGGATCCCCCGGCCATGGTTTCCTGCTGTAGTTTTTTGTTTTGGCTTGGGGAATATGTAGGTGCAAAGCGGGCAGGATCGTGGCAGAAAGACGACTAACAGGCTCGTAGATTTCGATTGATTAATGTCGTCCTAGAGACACCTCCAGAGATGCCGCCTCACCAGCGCATCGGCAATGCACTGGGTGAGGTCGGCCACCTGTCGCTTGCCATTGCAGTTCAGAATCTCGCCCTGCTTTACTTTTGCTCCCGACTCGTCACGCCCTGGGTAGCCGACTTTTGCGTTTTTGCCGCCGTTACCCTCGTATTTGATCTTGTATTCCATTTAACCTTCTTTATTGCCGTCCTGAGCGTTGATGTGCAGAGGATGGAACTCTCCGATTCGCTAGAACGTATCGATCTCCACAAGAATATCAAGACCACCAAGGCCGACCGTCAAACGTGGCTTGGTGCATTAAGAGAAGGTACCTTGCCACTCAGTACCCGTTTTGCAGGGACTGTCGCCATCTTCTCCGTCATTGTCGCCATCAATTGGCACTTCTTCGACAGCGATGACAAGGCACTGTCATTGAGCAAGCTTCGGCAAAGTTTCACATCCAAAAGGCGCAAGCGCTCCATCGAGGCAGTATGGAGCCGGCCGCCAATCAATCAGGCTAGGACGCCCGCTGATTGGCTTCGACTCCAAGACCACAACACGGCTCGGGAATTGTTTGCTTTCATCAAGCCTGGAGCCCAGACATTTGTGGCTCGCATCTACAATCCAATCTTGGTGGTGGCCAAGGGAGCACAAGGACGTGATCGGCCTCAGCCACCAATATCGCTCATCGACGGGCTCCGCCGCTTTTCCCAAGGACATGCGTTTCCAGTAGCCTTGATTGCTGTTAGCCTGATTGCTATTGTGGCTTTGTTCATGAACTACCTTCTTTGGACAGGCCTCCCAAGAGCTGCAGAGGACAGCGATGATGAGGAAAGTGAGTTTTGCGTCAAGACACTACCAACGCCGCAAAACCTGGACGTTGTTCAGCTCGCTGCTTGCCCAAGAGGCCACCTTGCGAGCGTGTCGCTAGATCGGACTACTGCCATGTGGTTGCATGGCCGAGGAGGCTACTTACATACTACCTTGCAGACTGCAGTGATGAAGCCCAAGCTCTGGCCCATCTATGCTACGGCCATGGACGATGGTGGGAGCATCCTAGCGATATGCGGGCAGACGGGCCAGATTGGCCTTTGGGACATACCTGCATCGCGGTTCCTCATGTTTCCGCACATTGACATTCGGGGTCATGCGCCCATGCTTTTTACCTTTGTCACACTCAAGACACGGACAGACGCGGAAAAGCTATACCTCATTGTCGTTAGCCCCGACGGACACCTAACCAAGCTGGAGGCTCGTACAGGCATCCACCACACGAGACGGATTGCGCCTAGCGCTATCCTGTGCAGCTCAATCTACACTTCGGAGAAGGGCGACAGCAGCCTTGTCTTTGTGACGAAGCCTGGCGAAGTGCACATATTGTCGCTCAAGGAAGAGAACAACTACACGTCGGAAGTGGTTGCAGGGCTGGATCCAGGACCACCTCCCGGCAGCAACCCAGCCAAGATACGATGCATCCATGCTGTTCCCAGCCTTGGACTCATGTTTGCGCTCCGAGACGAGGAAGCGGAGATTTTTGACTTTGCCAGCCGTGCGCTGGTGCACGCGTTCCCGATTGGACATGTTCGACCGCATTCGTTCAGGGTGCTGCACTCGGTGCGACGAGTGTGCCAATGCGGAGCACCGGCAGTCAATACACTCTCTGTTGCGTATGCAGAGTACGACTCGAAGCACATGCTGATGCAGACATTCAGCCTTGACGACAAGACACCGTCGCAGATGTGCCTCGGCAAGCCGCTAGATCGGGAGAAGCATGGGTGTCGGGGACTCGAGTGCGCAACGGAGACGGTGCATTCGGTCGAGGCGGCCGGAGCATGGGAGTCGACGGACGCGCTGAGCGTGGTTGGTATCCGAAGATGTACAGCGCAGTCGCCGACGCCGTCATCAACACGGTCAGGGATGGAGGATGGGTACCAAGGCATTGATGCAACAGCACTCGCTTCTGCACTCAAGCAGCGGGCTCAACGCCAAGGGAATGCGACGCGGCCAAGATGTGGGGGTGCAGCGTTCATCAGAGACGGGCGGGCGGAGGACTCGTTTGACGACTGCGAGGACGCGTGGGAGATATGGACACTGTCGACGGCGGGCAACTTCCGGTCCAGGCCGCTGATACCAGATGAAGTGGACGAGGCAACGGGCCTGGCATACGAAGAGGAGCTGTTTGTAGCGGCGCCTGGGCCGATTGTCAAGCTGGGCAAGCGGAGCATTGCCGTGGGATTTGGCAATACAGTCAAGGTCATCACGGTAGGCAAGGAGTCGTTTGATGGGCTGACCAGCATGCAGAGTGGCGCCATGGACATTGGGCTGGGGACATACAAGTGGAGAGCGCGGAAGGCTACTGGGAGAAAAGTCCAATGACAGTACACGCAGACTGGCGGCAGCTGAGGGCACCACGGCAGAGGTGGGACAGCGGGCGCTAGGCTGGGAGGGTGTGTAATGTTTGGACTGTGACTGTATATATACCCTATGCGCAGTAAGCGCGGCGTTTTGCTCTTTTTTCTCTCTCTCTTTTTCTTGTTATTTTATCTTCTTCTTTTCTTCTATACATATATACATCTATATGGCAGCTACTTGCAATATCGACGGACAAGACGGCTGGTTTGGCTGAATTCAGATGCACGTCATGACAGCGAGGAGACGTGGGTGGAATCAGCAGGCGGTTATCTGGGCCCCGCAGTCGACGTCGACATGCACATGCACATGTGTAGTGTACATGGGAGCAGGAGTGGTAGCATGTGCATCCACATCTACCGAGCCGACTAACCGCCCGAACAGGCTCAGACTTGGAGGGGAGACATGGCATAGACGTCATGGCGGTGGCTGTTGAGCCAGGGACAGGGTCTTGGAGGTGTGGCGCGGGTTTGCGGGGCTAAGCCACGGGGGAGAGGTGAAAAGGGCCCACGCGACCCCCCCAGAGTGAGGGAAAGAGCGACCCACCGAGTCGAGCGGCACTAGCACTAGGACGAATACCACCAACCAACCGCCTTGGGACTCTGCACGGCACCGCACTGCACTGGCACTGGCACTGGCACTGGCACTTGTCTTGTCGTTTCTTTTCTTTTGGGCCCGACTCCAAGCCGCCTCTTCTCTGCTCTGCCCCGTCCCGCCCTTCCTCAACAATTGCAATGTACGTCCCCGCCCACGCCCCCCCTGGCTGCCTGCTCGCCTGCCCGCCTGCGACGCATTCACGTGCAACGGAACAGCTGCTGGCCACCGCCACCGCCCAGTCCAGCCCTGCACTGCGCCCAACTGAGCTGACGATGCACCAGTGTCCAACATCACCATGAGCAAATCACTGTCTCCCTACGACTCGCTGCGGTACATTCCGCTCTGCTACGACTATGCCGACTCGCACAAGACGGCCCTCGCCCTCATACTCGCCCTGCGCCCGGAATGGCAAGACTCCAAGGACACAATTGAATTCGTGCGCTTCACCGACGGTATCACAAACACGGTATGCACACATGCGCTGCTGGCGACGGCCCCCCGGCTGCACCCTCCCTTCCCCTTTCTTCCCGCGCGCGCACGGCTAAGACGTGGTGTAGCTTCTCAAGGCGGTGAACAAGCTGCCGGGCCTGTCCAAGACGGAGGTTGAAGACGATGCCATCCTGCTGCGCGCATACGGCAAAGGCACAGACGTCCTCATCGACCGCGAGAGTAAGTCGCTGCCAGCACAGCACCCTGTTGCGCTTCGCTAAGACAAAGGCCACAGAGGAAACGCGCTCCCACTCGCTGCTCGCCCGCCACAACCTCGCCCCGTCGCTCTACGCCCGGTTTGAAAATGGTCTCCTATACAAGTTCATTCAAGGCAGCGTGTGTAGCCCTGCCGACCTGCGTCGGCCAGAAGTATGGCGAGGAGTAGCTCAGAGGCTGGGAGAATGGCATGCCACATTACCTATTTCGAGTATTAGCAGCACTTGTCCTGCGCCTGCCCAACTCACTTCCCAAAACAACAAGCGTGAGTCTCTGGCTGCCATGGCTGCCCTCACGCCAGGCAAACCCATTCCGAATCTGTGGACTACTATGCAGAAGTGGATCCTTGCCCTGCCGACGACCACGACGGCCCAGTCGGAAAGGAGAGACCAGCTGATGCAAGAACTGTCGAGTCTGACTGAGATACTTGGTGACACGCCTGGCATTGGTGGCTCCAACCCTTTTGTCTTCGCCCATTGCGACCTTCTCTCAGGCAACGTGATCATCGAGCCCTCGCCCTCGTCCGCCTCAGCGTCTCGTCGCTCGAGCGTCTCGAGCGGCTCCGACGAGCCTGAGCCCGTCGCCTGTGTGTCGTTTATCGACTACGAGTATGCCACGCCTGCCCCTGCTTCGTTTGACATTGCCAACCACTTTGCCGAGTGGGGCGGCTTTGACTGCGACTACTCGGCCATGCCCACACGCACCATCCGCCGCGCCTTTTTGCGCGAGTACCTGCGCAGCTTCAGCGCCCACCACAACAAGTCATACAACAACGCCGACCTCGACGTCCTCTTTGACCAGGTCGACAGGTTCCGCGGCGTCCCCGGCTTCTACTGGGGCATCTGGGCCTTGATCCAAGCTCAGATCTCCCTCATTGACTTTGACTACGCCTCGTATGCCGAGATTCGCCTCGGCGAGTACTTTGCGTGGAAGAAGGCGTTTGACGGCGGCAAGGAAGAGGATAACGAGCGCATGATGCTGAGGGAGAAGATTTGGGCTAGCGACGAGTAGTCGTTGTTATTCTTGTCAAGAAGAAGAAGAAGACGAAGAATATCAACTCAGCGAGTCTCGGGGTTTGCCAACAAGGCCAGAAAGCCATGTCTTCATGTCTCTTTTTTTCTTATTCTTTTTTTCTCTTTTTCAATTTTTTTACATGTGGCGCAGCTTAAGAAAGTTATGCCCTTCCATTTCACTCGCTCACTCGCTCACTCACTCACTCAATGACTTACTCAATCATGTATTCGGTCTTTTTTTTCTTCAGATTTATATATCATTATTTAATACAGTGGATTAAGAGAGATGAAAGGAGGAGGAGGAGGATAAAGGACAGGAAGAGGAAGAGGGATGGTAGGTAGGTAATAGATGGGTATTATGATGAGGAGAGAAAGAAAGGAGAGAAAGAAAGGAGAGAAAGAAAGGAGAGGAAAGGAAAGGGGACTTATCCATCGATAAATAAAGACCATATCTAGACTTGATTTCTCTTTTCTCTTTTCCCTCATTGGAATTCACTCATCTGCTCATCTACTCATCTACTCATCTACTCATCTACTTGTCTACTTACCTGCTATGCATACTACACTTCTTACTCGCCATGCACCATCAGTCTCTTGACATGTGTGCTGAGCTAATAATGTACGTGGAAAGCACATAGTACATGTACGTACGTTTAGGTAACTTTGATTCAAAGCTTATTTCCTGTTGCTCTGCGTCATACCACGTACACCACATCATGCCATGCCATGCCATATCATATCATACCATACCACATCATGTCCTAGTACAACTCACCGAAAGAGACGGAGAAAAAGAGACAGAGCAAAAGACAAGAGATATATATGTACATGTTCTCATTCATTTCTCATACTGTGTTTGTTCTTCTTCTTCTGTCTTTGCTCTGGCGCTAATCCAGAAGACTTTGTCCTTGTCCTTTTCGTCCTAACAAATAGGGTATATATAGTAATACCAACCAACCAATCAAACAAGCATGACAGACAATGCACAGTGATTTTGCCCCCCCCCTTTTTTTTCCCTCCATCTGTTCCATCTGTCTTGCCTTATACCCTTTGTCCATTTCCTCTATGCCAAACCAAGCCCAAAAAGAATGCCGAAATTTCCATGTCTTCCGAAGCCGAGAAGAAGAAAAAAACCCCCCCAAAGCACATTCCGTTTCTTTTGGTTCTGCCTCCCATATCCCATCCCATAAGCGAGAGAGAGAGAGAGAGAGAGAGAGAGAGAGAGAAAACAAGAGTACAAACATATCATCCCATTTCGTAAAACGCGAGCGGTTGGGCCCCCCAGGAAAGGAAAACAGGCGGGGCCCAGGAAAAAGCCGAAAAATAATTGCAACAAAGACGCTCGCTTGTTCAAGGCAGAAAATTGAAGAGAAAGTACCTTTGAGAAAAAATAAAGGATATACCTCAGGCTTCGACACCAAGATCGTTGCCATTACCAAGCCAACAGTCGTCGCCAAGCATGAGATTAGCGCCTGTATCCAGGGCCGTATCGTCAAAGCTAAACGTCTCGCCCACGGCATCCAGGTTCAAAAGCTGGTCAAAGTCGCCGTCGTCAAACTCGTTGTTGAGCGGCAGACTGGAAAACAGCATTTCGTCGTCTTGGTGATGGTTGATGTTGTTCGAGGCAAAGTGCGATGTGGGTGCGAGGTCCAGGGCGCTCCATTTGTTCAGGTTGACCGAGTTCAGCATGTTTTGGTGCATGTGGTGGTTGACGTTGGCGGCGCCGGCGGTGGCGTCGATCATGTCCGAGTCTTGCGAAATGGTAATGCTCGGCATGTGCTGCTCGTGGTCCGAATCTGGGGGTGTAGATGCTAGGAAGGTTTCGAGTCGGCGGGCGACTTCTTCGTCGGTCACGTTGGGCTCGTTGTGCTGCTTCTCCAGTGCATGCATGTTGGTGGTGCCGTAGTCTGGGGGCGGTGTCAAAGCTGACGGGCGGATCGTCTGTGGTGATGCTGCATGGGAAACATCCAGCCGCCGTCCGACATTAACAATGTCGTCAACTGTAGTCGTATGTGGTGCCTTGGTTTCCGGAGAGGTTTGTACTATGGGGGCGACTTGGATACCTGCTTTCCGGATAGCAGCTTCTAGGAAGGCCACCGAGTAATCAGCAGCAGCGTAGAGATCGCGGAGTTTGCCCATGACGGCCATACACTGGCAAAAGCCACGCAGAGAGGACCGGCGAATTTCTTCTTCTGGTGCCTTGATGTCGAGCAGGTGAATGATAATGGCCGGGAGAAGAACAGTAACACCCGTTGTCGGGAGATACCTCACGAGACCGCCCTGATCGAGACGCTGAGCCATGGAGGTGATTGCCGAGGCAGCACGACGAACGTTGCGGCGCGAAACATCGAGCAGTTCGGGCTCGACGTTGTGCTTTGTCGGAGCATTGACAGGGCCACATTGAGGGTTTGGAAGAACTTGAGGCCGGTGTAGCGCAGACAAGGTAGTGAAGAAGACCATGTGCAACAGTGCCCTTGCGAGATCAATGGCTGCCACACCGCTTGGCTTGTCCGAATACTTTGCCTCCTCAGGCAGCTCCGAGACCCATTTCTGGAGTTCTTCATCGCATGCCTTGACTTCACTCGTCTCGGGATCCAGCTTCTTGGGAAGCAGCATCATGGTTGTGCGGTCGTTTTGCAGGCCCTGGTTGTTGTTGAGCACGCAGTATTGCTTGGACAGAACATGTGAAATGCACAGACAGAGCCGGGCCTTTTCAATGCACAGAATAGCCAACTGCCGTTGGGCGTCGGCATCTCTGGCAATGCGGCAATCCGCTGGTAGGCAAGTCACGCTCTCTGGGAGGGGTGAGAGATCAAAGTCGTCGAGTGTCAGCATTGGGACGTCAAAGTCTTCCGTCTTTATCCTGATGGGTCGCCGCATGCCGAGGGCAATGAGTCGGTCTCGCATATACGTCGACCACCATATCCGCTTCCAGAGCTTGACGCGCTTGCTATCGAGATTGCTGTTGTCTGGATTTCTGTGCAGGCCAATGGTGTGGGCGATGGAGGTTGCCACGCCCATCCAGTGCCACGTATCCTTCTGGTCATCGGGGGTCTCGTAGTAGTATGTCAGCAGTAACAGTGCTTGGACTAGCGAGACGCGGTCAGACTCGTAATCAAAGTCGTAGAGAATCTGAGGCGTCGTTAGTCAGTGGCCTGTGGAATTAATTTGACAGCGGTATGGACTCGGAATGATCGGTGTATGCGAGCACACTCCGATGACACAAAGGGCCGATTAGGCCAAATGCTCCGGGTAAAAAGGGGTCTCGACTTACTCTAGTCTTGTGGAAAAAGTCTTTGCGGGCCTCCTTGCGTGAGGCATATCCCGCCGCGCGCAAGTGGTCCATGTCGACAAATGCCGATCCGGCAAACATGACGGCCTGAAATAGGATCAAGCTAATTTTACCCCTACTTGCGTCTTGGTCGTCTATCATGGCGAGGAATTCGTGCAGATCCAGCAGCGGCATGTATGGATGCACAAACTCGACGTAGGCGCGGAGCATTTCGCTGCGGAGGGTGCCCCTGGGCACGTTGAGCACGCCCTTCTTGCGCAGATAGGCAATCTCATCAGGGCCGATTTTGGAGGGCAGCGGCTTGACGAAGATGGGCAGCTCGACCGACGCGGGCTTCTGTGACGATGATGCTGAGAGGGCACCAAAAAAGGGCGGTCTCGTCTCTGTGCCAAAGGGGGAAAAGGGCAGGTTGGGCAGGCTGTTGATTTGCGACGTGATGGACAGGCGGCGCTGCATGGCCGACAAACTCCCGACGGAGCTCATACGGTGGCCATGACTTTGGTCTGCAGCAGTAGGGTCAGCGCAGTGCAGGTGAGACTAGTTACATGGTACAACGGGCGGCACGTACAAATGGAGTGCGGCACGTGCTCGTCCCGCCTCGACTCGGCGTCGAGCGATGCACGCGACGAGGCCGAGTTGAGCGAGTGGGTGGCGTCAAAGGCATCGCGCGAGACGATTTTGCGCGTCGAACTGCCGGATGCAGCCCTGGGCTCGGAGGCCTGGTCGTCATCTTTGCTCCATTTCCTGCGGCATTGTTAGTGTTAGCACGATACGAAAGGCGCGCAAATCCCGGAGGCGGCTCATGCGGCCGCCATTGGCTGCAGCGGGTGCATGCGGCCGTGATTGGCTGCGTGCCCCACAAGCGGCAGCCCCCGTCACGTCAGTACCGAGGCCTGAGCCGACTTTGCGTGCCGCCCGCTGGGTGTGGGCGTGTGTGTGGGTGTGTGGGTGTGGATGTGCGTGAAGTGGGAAAAACACAGAGACCAAAAAGCAAAAAAGAAGCCATGGCGCACGCGTGGGCCGTTGGGTGTGTGCAGCTACCGCGGCCGCGCGCCTTGCTTGTTGCGGGAAGACGGCAGGGAAAAAAAGGGCTCGACTAACTTTTTGCGCCTGCTCTCCGACACTATGCATTCGACCTCGTCCAAGCGGCAGTTTGTGCAGGGAGCGCCGTGTTCGGTGACGTTGCAGCGCACTTTGCGGGCGCGGCAGCACTGGCACGCCTTGGAAGCCCTCCTCTTGACCGAGCGGCTGGCCGTGTGTCCGTCGAGGCCAGCCTGGGTCGCCTTGCGCTTGGGAACGGGGGCGTCGGTGTGGTGGTCGGACGGCGAGGCCGAGTAGTCAGACATGGCGGGCTGGGGAGGGGAGGAGGCGAGTCGGCGAGGAGGGGGAGTCGAGGAGAGAAAGTCCAGGCACGCGTGAGGGGCGTCTGGGGGGGCATGGGACGATTATAAAGGCATGCAACTGTCGGGCAGAGCCTGTGCTGGGGACTCGCAAGACATCCCCACTGGGGATCGGTAGCATTAGTGAATACCCCAGTCGCCCCCAGATGCGCATGGCCGGCGCTTTATCCTTGGCAGCCCAGCACGCCGACGCTGCTGGCGGATAGCATCGGACCGGACGCATTCGCCATAGTGGCGCGTGGCACAAGAGACGTTTTGGCAACGTCAGCTGGCGCGCGCCCCGTCCATGGTACCTGCTGGCCCGCACAAAGAAAGCTCCCCCGAGTCTCGGCGGTCTGGGGAATGCCCGTGGCAGACGCAGAGAGGCAGACGTCCCACGCCGAATTCTCGCGTCAGCGCCCATGTGGGGTCCCTGGCATGCTGCAGCACCATCGCCGTCGAGCCATCTCGGGCAGGGTACCGACTGTGTACTTGTAGCACCTCAGGTAGCGTGGCGTACGGGCGCCGAAATGAATCTCCCCCAGCTGCACGGCGGCGCCATGACCAAGCCGACCAGCTTCTGGATCGCTTGTGTAAAGCCGAAGTGCTAGCCGACTTCGGGCGTGCGCTTCAAGCGTTGCATAGCCGTCTAAGCCCTGCCTGACGTCTTTTGTGTTGCCAGGCCTCCGTTGCTCCGACGCTGACGCCCACGCCCAAAACATATTCCTGCTCATGCTCTGTTGACCCCTCGCCCGCGCCGGCCAGCCGTCTGTTTATCTGCCACACACGTACCTGTGTATCACTGCCTACTCGGCACGACACAAAGTTTTGCCTTGCCGCCGCTGACGGGGCAAGGGCGCGGGCGCTAGAAGCTGGGGAGAATTGTCGGCGCTCGGAACCCATCCGTCTCCATCGGACGGGGGGCACGTCAGCATCGGGAGCCGTAAGGAGGGGGCGGCGACAAATGGACGGCGGGCACGAACACGAACGAGTGGAGGACGACGATGATCTTGCACGCCCGCCTGGTGTCGACGACAAAATTGCGGGGGACACTTTGCCATGACGGGGAAGCGACATGGCACGATACGACCAGATACCTGATACGCCCATTTTCCACTCCCCCCCCCCTACATACACATGCGCATGTATGTATGTGGTACATGCACATGCACCTGATGCCTGCAAAGCCCACGCGATACCGATCCCTCGTTTTTCCTTTTCCTTTTCCTTTTCCTCTTCCTCTTCCTTTTCCTCTTCCGCGTTTGACTGGTGTTGCTGTGCTGCGTGCGTCATCGGTCTTGGCACGCCTACCGACATGTTATACATAGATACACGCACACCTACGCCTACACCTCCTCCTACATACTACTACAACATACACACGACACACGACACACGACACGCATACCAGACCCTGCCTCTCCATTTCCCCACACGACCAGGTGTCACGGAAAAACCCGAGTATCCCCTAGGACAAAACCACCCAAAAGCTGACAGCAGCGGTCAAGCGCTCCGTCCGGTGCCGAGCAATAGCACCTAGTTATTTCCTCAGCTCCTACTAGCATTCACCTGGTCGGGGAGGGCCCATGCTCCATGATCTGCAGGGTAGCCGGTACCTGCGAAACAAGGTCTAGTCCTCTCTCTTAGCAGCGCCAGCGCCAGCGCCAGCACTTCGCCCCCCTACTAGCAAGAGAATGGCCGACTATTTTTTTGCGTAAGTAGTGCCACAGGCGGTATAGTCGTACTAGACGAGTCGAGTCGGCTCAAACGACTCGTGGGGCTCGACTCTGTCTTTGGTTTCGCAGCGGCCAGAGGGTGCGTGTGTGCCGAGGCCCATGTGTACTACTGCGACTACTACTACTACTACTACTACTACTACTACTACTACTACTACTACTACTACTACTACTACTATGTATGTGCATGTCTATGTGCGCGTGTCCAGCGCCGACGTCAGCGCATGTCCCATCCGCCCAGCTAGTAAGTAACTACACTCTTACATACGTCCATGCTCAGCTGCATGGAGACACAGACACAGACAGAGCCCAAGAATCAGCGACCAGGATTACATGCGTGAGATAAAGTGAGCGGCAAGCCCGCTGAAAGGGTTAAATTGCAACATGTTTGACACACACGCACACTACCGATCGAGGCCCTCAGCTCCGACCCGTCACAGCCTACAACCACAGACATTTCATGCTGGTCCGATCGAGGAAGGGCCGAAGCGAGGGGTTTAACCCATGCACATGCGCATGCACGCATTCACTTCTGCTTCCGGCGCATCCCTAAGCCCGGCTGGCTTGGAGGTTGTGCGTGTGGGGGCTCACGTGCGCGCAACACGGGTTCCTTATCCGCCTGCTCGTCCGGGCGGAAAACCAGCTCATTGGCTGTTCCGCCTCCCCCCCCCTCCCTTCCCCTCTTGGCACCCACGCGACCAACCATGACACCAACACTTTCTTACGCCCGCAGCAACGACAATCTTGATTTGGGGGAACTCCCCCCCTCCCCCTCTGGCTATGTCAATGTGGTGGTTTCCTGGTTTCCCCACACCGGCTACTTAAATCTTACATACAGCCTTATAGCTTCGAGGATGATGCCTTGAGCGCCTGCGTCTTGGCCTTGAAGTTCTTGACTAGCTGGCGCACCCCCAGGTCCAGCAGCACGTCTTCCGACCCGCCCGGGATGCGGATGCCAGGCACGTCGCGGTAGATTCCTGTTGTCACATGTTAGCTGCAGCTCGTCGCATCGCCATGATCCTGGCTTTGCCCAAAACTAGGTCCATGGATGTAGTAGTAGTGGTAGTACTCACGCTCAACCAATTCACCCTGACCGCTCTTTGTGTATCCGCTACCACCAAACAGCAGCTGCGCTACCTGCGCGCACTCGTTCAAGACAATGCCCGACTGCGCCTTGGTCATGGCCGTCAAGCCACCCAGCTCAATGTCCGCCTTTTCCTTGGGCATGTTCGCCATCTGGTACACAAACTGCTCGACCCATGCCCACTGCGACTCTAGCAGTGCACCCGCCTTCGCCAGCCGGTGCCGTACGACAGGCTGCTCAACCAGCGGCTTGCCAAAAGCCTCGCGCTTCAGAACATATTCCACTGCGCTCGCCAGAGCCACGCGCTCTTGACGCGTTGCGCCAATGGCAATCGAGAGACGCTCGTGGTTGAAGTTGGTCATGCTATGACACGTCATGTTAGCTTTCTGATCGAGTCCACAAAAAAATACCATCCCTGTAAATGCATCAGTACACTTACATGTACTTCATGCCCATGCCCTCCTCGCCAATGAGGTTCTCCACAGGCACCTTGACGTCGTCGAGCTCAATGTAGGTCGTGCCTCCCGTGATCATACCACCGACCTTGAGCCTTCGCATGGTGACGCCCGGATATCCTTTCAAAGGCACCACGAGCATCGACAGCCCGCCAGGTCCCGGTCCGTCAGTCCTTACAGCCATGGAAGAGTAGTCCGACCAGATGCCGTTGGTGATCCACTTCTTGCTGCCGTTGACAATGTAGTATTTGCCGTCTGCCGTCTTTTCCGCCGTGGTGGTGATATTGGCGACATCGGATCCAGCCTCGGGTTCTGTAATGGCAATGCAACTCCGCTTCTTGCCCGTCAGGAGCTCCGGCAGAAACCGATCTTGCAGCTGCTGATTTCCGAATTTGAAAATAGGCGGCACGCCAAACGCCATGCCCGTTGTGAGCGATGATGGCGGCCCTGAGAGACCCGATCGGTTCATCTGGTATTTCCCGTTAGCCCAAAGTATTCCTCAACCCCGCTCTTTGTCTCCGCCACCGTACCTCATCCGTATAAATCATCATGTGGATGTAATCCCACTCCTCGACCTTGACCACACCCAAGATATCATGGACCCCCAGCTTCTTCAGCTGCGCGACGGGCAGCGGTGCCGGCAGCGAAGGAATCAGCATATTGGCCTTTGCAAACGTCTCAAACACGTGCGGCGGCACATCCTCGAGCGTGTCCCATTCCAGCGCCTTCTCCAGCAAGTGTTTCTCGCAAAACTCGCGACACGCCTTTTGGAATTTCAAATGCGTCTCCTTGTAGTACGGCGACGGCAGCCCGGCAAGGTACGGCGGTTCCGAGAAGGGGACGATGGGAGTCGCCGACATGGTGTTTTGTGTGGTTGGCTTACGGCGAGCTAAGAGACGACGACGTGTCCAAAGAGAAGAAAAAAGAAAAAGAAAAGCGAGCGATCCGTCGTTATCTTGTCTTTGGTTTCGTGGATAGAGTAGCGCGCAGCCCCGAGTTTATGAATCGTGCTGCGCGTGCCGCACAAGAAGTGGAGTCCGGGGTAGCTCTGAGCATCGTACCTCGGCCCGCCCAAACCTACGTACCTTAACTTACACGCCTCTGCCATGTCATGAGCCGACGGCAGCGTCGGAGCACATCAAACTACGGGTTTGTGGAATTCCCATCCAAGTGGATACAGGTAATAGCGCCCGGCTTATTTGTGTGTCTTGCATTCATGCCATGTGCTCTGGATCCATGCTGGTCCTGACGCCTGGGTAGCCCCTCGTGCCCGCTAACCTTAACTACACCCCTCTGTCACATGCCAGAGCCATTGCCCTAGACAAAAGTCATAGCCGAGTCTTGCCAACCCCATCAGCATCAGCATTTCCCAGACTGCTCTCACCATCCATGTCAAACCCTCCCGTTTTCGTGCTTACACCCTCGGACATTTCACAATATACCCACCACGCCATGAGGCCATAGACATGATTAGTAATATACGAGTCGTTTGACAGCTATCTACGAAACTACAATACACATGTTCGTACTAACACCATGGCGACCGGACAGCCAACCAACTGACTCACTGGTGAGAAGAATATACCGTAGCCTACTTACTTGAAATTCCCATGGCAGACAGCCAAGAGCGTACGACCAAATGCAGCCAACTTCCTGCGAGAGGGGTGCATGTGAGAAGACTTCTAGTCCTCCTCGATTTCGCCTTCCTCACTTCCACTACGGAGTGCACGATCTTCCTCTTCCTTCTTGGTCGATGCTTCCGGCACAGGCGTTTTCGACTTGCGCTCAGCCCGAGGCGAGTAACGCGCACGCTGATACGTCAGTAACCGTCTATTGCCTCTTGGGTGCTTCACTTTACGTACCTTGGTCTCGCGGTCGCGCCTGCTCGAACTCTCGTCGCTGTCGCGGCGGCGACGAGTCGACGAGGTACGGCCACCACTGTCACCATAGTCAAGCTGACTGACCGTCACCTCGCGTGGATCGGCTCTACTAACGTAAGATCGTTCACGCTCCACTTCACGCTCGCGGCGTTCACGGCCATAGTGATCTCCAAGAGGGCTTCGGCGAGAGCGTTCGTATCGGTCATCATCACGGCGGTCGCGGCGTGGGAGAGGGGACAGGCCAGTGCTGTCGCTGTTTCTGTAGCGCGCCTCCCTATCTTGAACGGCTCGGCGACGTTCTGCAGCGTACGGGTCATGTTCAGGTGAGCGAGTACGTGTACGATGACGGCGATGAGAGTCAGAATGCCCGTTGCGATACTCACGGTCTCGGTCACGCCTGTCCCTATCACGATCGCGATCATCGCGCCTGCTGCGGTCGCGACGATCACTTTCCTTGTCTTTCAATCGCGAAATAAACTTGTCGAATGCCAGCTCGCGTAGGGAATCTGATTTCAGTGCGCGGTACTCGTCTGTCTTCTCAACACGGGGACGTACCACTTCCCAGTCGTCTGTAACCGACACTGGCGGATCAAGGTGCTTGATGACAGAGCGGAGCTTGTCTACAGCATAGCGTTCGTTCGACTCCTCGTCCCGTCGCTCCTCCTCCTCGCGCTTCTTCACCTTTGCAAGAACGTAGTTGTAGATGCTGTGCATGGACTGTTCGTCAATATCAGCGGTGCGAGCATCTTTTCGCATGACACTTAGGAACTCTTCCACAGGGGTTGATGTGGTAACCTCGAAGCGTTGTTGCTAGTAGCAGAGTTAGCAATGAATTGTGCTTTTGATGCTGAGGTAACCTTACTTCTAGTACGTCCAGAGCTCGTCGGCGTAGAGTACGGAACTTGCTCTCCTCCTCCTCGAGAGCATCGCGGAACAGATCAAGCGGCGAAGACCCGCTTTGGCCAAGCATTGCAGTGTAACGGGAATCATCCTGGATCGTGTTGTGCATCTCCTTCCATTTGGTGCCAGCGCGCAGTACGCCCTTGTGCCTGAGCTCATCCAGCAGCGATATAAAGGCATCGCGGTTCTTACGCTCGGCACGGTGCTTGATACGTCGCTCAGCCTGAACTCGGTCGTTGTGCTCGCGCTGAAGCTGTCGGATATGCTTCTCAAACTGATTGAGCACATCAATGCGAGTCAGAGTCTGGAACTTTTCGCTCTTGAACTCATCGTTGCGTTCCAGTTTCTCCTCGGCCGTCTGCCAGCGAGTAAAGGGCTCCAGATCCAGCTCCTGTAGCAGTACCAGGACTTCGTCGAGCGCGGACCGCCTGCTTTCTGCCTCTTCTTCCTCGTGCGCCTTCTTGAGCGAGATGATGTATTCCTCGAACAGCGCCCTCCGCTCGTTGTCATCCTTGGCTGAGCGGAAGATGGTTTCGTCTTCAATAATGGGGAGTGCAGTCCTCCAGCGGGTGTAGTACTTGATCTCCGGGTGCGAGCGAAGCATGGCGGTAAAGTCAGCGCGCAGCTTCGCCTGGCGGTCCTGCTCCTTATGCTTCTCTTGGGCGCGCAAATCTTCACAGTACTTCTTAAAGGCCTCCTCACGCTTCTCTGGCTCCGATATGGCGCGCCAGTTGGGATCGTGGATACCAGCGCGTACAGCCTGCTGCCAGCCCCAGTCGGGCTGCACCTTGATCTGCTTAAGCACCTTGATGAAAGCAGCCTCGGCCTCTTGAGGGGTAGAGAACTGGAGCTCATTGCCCGTTGTGAAGTTGATGCTAGGGCGGTCGCCGGCAAAGGCAGACTCGCGATCGCGATCGCGATCGCGGTCTCGGTCATCGCGGCGGTCATGACGGTCGGGGCGATACTCGTCGCGTTCCGGGCGCCTGTTGTCGTACGAGGGCGCATTCGAGGGTGGGCCGCCCGCCCAGCCAGAAGGGCCCACTGGAGGAGGACGCTGAGGCGGCTGGTTCTGCCTATTCTGGTCGATCTTCTGCTGAACCGCGTCGGGTATGCTCCACGTTGTCTGTTTCGTCTCAATGTGCGCAAAGTACCGCCTATTCTCTGTCCAGTGGGCTGCCCAGCCGGTGCCGGGAAGCGCGCGCTACTTTTTGTTAGCAACAGATGCGTCATGGGGCCACTGGGGGCGTCTTACCTCTACTTCGTCCTTCAAGTCATCGGGCTTCTCCCACGTCGTAAGCTTCGTGATGGTGTTATAGTAGTACTCGCGGCCATCGGGCGTCTTTGCGGTCGTCCAAGTCGAGCTTGACGGCGGCATTGGGGGTGGATAGCCGTTCATTGCGCTGGTGATGGTGGTAAAGTCGCGCTGGTGTGCAGAAGACTTGTCGTTGAGCGGGTACGAGAGGAAGAAGCTGTGGAACTTCTTGGCGCACGGACGTTTTGACTAGCGCGGATGTTAGCCCCCCTAGTTCAGGCACCGGGTTCACGTGCACTTTCGCTGTTCACTCTGACTTCGCCATGGCTGCAGGTACGGCCGAAGCGCAACCGCGCACAAGTCTTGACTTTGCCGAAAGCTCCGTTCTTGAAGCTGTCGTCCCTGCAAAGTCTGAGGTCGACATCAAGGGCGCAATCGAGTCGTGGGATGGAGTGGCAGACGACGATGGCTCCATATTACCATTCCTGTCCCAGCGCCAAGTGCTTCTCCTCGGTACGTTCTCAGCAAGTCACCGGTGCCTGCATGTCTCTTACTCATGCATAGGCTTCTAGATGAACTGCTGGCTGTGTATGTTGTTTTTCGAGCACCGCTGTTGGAAGATGCCACCCTAAAGGCGTACCTTGCAAGATTGGTAGTCAATGTAGAAGCATTCGCCTTCAGCACGGCTCCGCCACCCGAGCAAGACCCCAAATCCGGATCCATGAAGGAACTTATTTACTCTGGTACGATCAAGCCAACTGACGAGCCGACTATTGTGAATCATGTTGAGGGGGACGATGCCCACACTTTTGTCATCTGGAAGGTAGACATCTTTATTGGTAAGACCTACAAAATTATCAGATTTTCACAGGCCTAATGCAGAGTAGCCCGTCCTCAAGGAAGGTTCCACAAGCCTGCAGTTTACTTCCAGCCTGTGGCTTCCTTCAAGCCCGCCGAAAGGCCAGAGCACGATGCGCTGGAAGACGACTATCTCCCGAGTCGCATGCCCACACCACTGAATCTGCTCCAGTCGTTTGAAAATGACCCTGCTCTCGTTGGTATCCACCCCCGGCTGTCGTCTATGCGCATCAACAAAGTTACTCTGAGTGCTCCTGTTGCGCGAGAAATGGTCCGCCCTATCCAGAATGGCCAGAAACCCATATTCAGGGTGCTGCCGCCGTTAATTTGGAGGATACGATATTCCAGACTCCATGCGCCACTCAGTGATCTGTCATTGATCGCTTCCCTGGATCTTGAAGTCGCGCAATTCGCTACATACAACGTTAACGTTAAGAAAGTCGACTTGACATTACACGGAGGCAAGGTCAAAGAGTTGAGCGAACAGCAAGACGCGGAAGTCAGCCACAGACCCGGTAATCAATTGACCTATCTGTACAAAATCACACCGGATCTCGCCCCTGATGGGACTCCAGCACTTGGGGCCAAGGGCCACTATCTGACTCTGACTGTTGAGGCCAAAGTCACCATGGCTAGCGATTGCCGACCAGACATTGCTATCGAATGGAAAACACCCGTCGATTTCACATCTGAACAGATGTCTGCTCATGCCAAGGCATCCCAACGTCTCAGCGGCTCTACGATGCAAACGACAAACACGGCTAACCCTGATGCCCTTCCTGGTGTTGATGCTCAGGAGCCGCATGAGCATGGTCATTCGAACAAGGACGTAAATGTCACACTCACAGTGTCCGGGCCGCCCAGCGTGCGCGTTGGTGATATCTTCACATGGGATGTTTTCATCGTCAACCGATCCGACAAGACGCGGAGGCTAGCAATCTTGGTTATTGTGAAGCGACCAAGAGATATTGAGAAGCACGTGTCTCGTCCGTCTACGTCGTCGGCAGTCGTTCCTCGCATCGACAGGCGAGAGCTTCTTGCGACGGCGGTTACCGATGAGAATGTCGTCTATGCCAAGCAGAAGAGTGCGAAGACAGAGGCGGCAGACCTGGTCTGCTTGGCAACCGACATCCGCGTAGGGTGAGTTGAGGCCAGCTGGATGCGTATAGAACAGGGATGCTGACTGCATATAGGCAACTCTCACCAGGTTCCTGCTATACGGCAGATCTCAAGTTTCTCGCACTTGCTGCGGGCGTATTGTCTGTGGAAGCCATACGTGTGGTCGATCTTGTGACGAATGAGACTGTAGATATCCGCGACTTGCCCAGCATTGTTGCTGTGGCGCCATGAGCAGAGCCTAGAGGAGAATATACCCAGATGACCCTTTGCAAGTGCTGTCGGGCTTCAAGAGACTGTAGATTGTTGCTTGTTCTGGAAGCGCCTCCACATCAGACTCCAACCCTACACCTACTTCTGACGTTCGTGGGGCCGCCTCTCTCTCCCCCTTTGTAGAAAGCTAGCCGACGTATCCGAGCGGGCACACACCATGAAGTTGCTTTGCGCGAACAGATGCCACCACATGAGACGCGCGTACTGCAATGTTAGGATAGCCTTGGGCGATGTGAGCCCGCAGCTGCGCCGGACGTGGGCTGATGCCAGTTGACGCGCGCTGCTTGCTTGATGTGTGAAACCCGTCGTCATTGGTCCCGGTCCGTGAAACCCTCCCGCCACTGCACCCCAAGACCAGGCTGCGTCAACCCCAGGCGACACCTTCTACACCTCAGAGACAGCGCCTCTGCTTCCAGAGAGATATCCGACGACTGCCCTCTGGCACTGCGCACGCCAGCCCTGGACAGATAGGGCCACTTATCGCCACACACGGACCTTCCACCTGCGTTTCAGCAACGTCATCGGGCGCGGTCTTGGAGCAACGCTACACGCACGTCTTTTTTGCAGGACCCATACCTTCACCATGAACAGCACCAGACACAGACTGCTTTACCAGCTAAACAGCCGCTGGGTCTACGGAAAGATCGTAAGCGACACGCCCACCGCCGGCCCGAGAGTCTGCTAATCGCCGCCAGCCGCTCCTCCATTCGATTGTCTTCCTCTTGCAAATGGCTGCAGTGAGTCTGCTTACGCGCAAGTACAACCAGTACTATGCGGCGCGGCCAGTCCTCACCACCATGATCACCAACGCCGTATGTGCCATCCCCTTTTCGTCGCAAAGCCTGCGCACACCACAGGCCTCGTATCGCATGCGCCCGCCCCCCCCCCCCCCCCCCGAACCAAACCATGGTTGCGTTGACGTCTGCGCCAATGCCGATTACGTATGCAACATATATGCAGAGCAGGTGCTGATATTGGGCCAGGTGTTGGGTGGTATTGCGGACACAGTGGCCCAGACGCTGACTGCCGTGCGAGAGCGCGCAGTTCGCAAGAAGGGCGGCCCAGGCAAGGATGACTTCCTGGCGATTGAAATTCACGACCTCGACAGACGCAACCCGCTCAACGACAACGATCTCATTCCCGACTCGAAGAAACTGCCGCCGCCCTTTGACTTTGAGCGCACCACGAGGTTCATGTCGTACGGTTTCCTCATGTCGCCGATCCAACACAGGTGGTTCAGGTTCCTGTCTGCAACTTTTCCCGTTACGAAAACTGCGACATGGCTGCCAGCGTTGAAGCGCGTTGCTTTTGACCAGTTCCTGTTTGCCCCAGCTGGTCTGGCAGCCTTCTTCACCTTCATGACGGTGGCCGAAGGTGGCGGCAAGCGGGCTGTGCAGCGCAAGTTCCAGGACGTCTATGTGCCCTCGCTCAAGGCCAACTACATGGTCTGGCCAGCAGTGCAAATCATCAACTTCCGCATCATGCCCATCCAGTACCAGATTGTAAGTGTCCTGGCCCTGCTCGGGTTGTACTTGACTAAGACTCCGCCAGCCTTTTGTGTCCAGCGTCGGTATTGCCTGGACTGCCTACCTTTCCTTGACCAACTCGGCCGACGAAGCGTAAAGCTATCCTGCTACAAAAAACGAATTCGCTTGTACACGTGTTCTGGATACACATTGAGTAGATCACAGCGATCTTTGGTTGATTTTCCTTTTGAGCTATTTGCGCGTCTACACCTTGAATGGGCATTTGTACGGCGTCCGGTCTTTCGGGTTTCTGTTCAGTCGCTGCGGTTTGTCGTACAATTCCAATCAGACCAGAATGAAATACTATTATCGTTAAACGCTACGCTCAGCCGATCACGGCAATTGCAAATGGTTATGCAGACTGCAGTCGGTGCCGTCGAGCTGCTCTCCGGGTGCTGAAGAAGATGGTCGATATGCAAGCTCTTGTAGCTCCCGACACCAACCGTCACTCTCGGCCGCGGGGGGGCCGTGGGGCTTAACCCACGCACCCTGACCGGCACAGGCTCAGCAAAAGCGTTTCATCTTAGCTAATTTGTCTTGGTGTTGGTCACGCCAAGTTGCTTTTTTATGGTTCGATAAGGAGCAAGAAGCTGTGCATGCATGAGGAACCTGTGGACTGACTGCCCCGCTACCCCCCACCAAGCCTCCCTATGACGACCTAAGGCCCAACAACAAACACGAAGCACCACTTGCGCTTCTTTTTCTCCCTCAATCCCCACCTTTGAGTGTAAGCAAGGCCCTCGTTCAAGTGCAAATACACCATTGCACGCATTGACAAGCAACAGCTTGAGCATTGAAGAGCTTTCTACTAAACGCGTGCCATCACAGTACACACACCATACCCCCCATCATGTCTCTCTCCAACAAGCTATCGATCGCCGACGTCGACCTCAAGGACAAGCGCGTCCTGATCCGAGTAAGCTAGATCTCAGATACTCAGCACAACACACATGTCCAAGCTGACAATCGAGCCTGTAGGTCGACTTCAACGTCCCTCTGGATGCCGACAAGAAGATCACCAACAACCAGCGCATTGTCGGTGCCCTTCCCACGATCAAGTACGCAATCGAAAATGGTGCCAAGGCAGTGGTCCTCATGTCGCACCTCGGCCGGCCTGACGGTAAGCCCAACGCAAAGTACAGTCTCAAGCCGGTTGTTCCCGAACTCGAGAAGCTTCTCGGCAAGAGCGTCACCTTCACCGATGACTGCGTCGGCAAGTCGGTAGAGGACACCGTCAACGGTGCTAGCGGTGGCCAGGTCATCCTGTTGGAGAACCTGCGCTTCCACGCCGAGGAGGAGGGCAGCTACAAGGACGATGAGGGCAAGAAGCAGAAGGTGGACAAGAGCAAGGTTGAGGAGTTCAGGAAGGGCTTGACTGCTCTGGGTGATGTCTACATCAGTGAGTGGTACCATGGCTTCTTTGGGGAATGCACCAGGCTAATCATCCACAGACGACGCTTTCGGTACTGCCCACCGCGCACACAGCTCCATGGTCGGCGTCGACCTCCCACAAAAGGCTTCTGGCTTCCTTGTCAAGAAGGAGCTCGACTACTTTGCCCAAGCGCTTGAGTCGCCCAAGCGACCTTTCCTCGCCATCCTTGGTGGTGCGAAGGTCTCTGACAAGATCCAGTTGATTGACAACCTGCTTGGCAAGGTCAACAGCCTGATCATCTGCGGAGGCATGTCCTTTACCTTCAAGAAGACTCTCGAGGGCGTCAAGATTGGTAACAGCTTGTTCGACGAGGCTGGCAGCAAGACGGTCAAGGACCTTGTTGAGAAGGCGAAGAAGAACAACGTCAAGATTGTTCTGCCTGTCGACTACATCACCGCCGACAAGTTTGACAAGGATGCCAATGTTGGCTATGCTGAGGACAAGGACGGCATCCCCGACGGCTGGATGGGTCTCGACTGCGGAGAGAAGTCGATCAAGCTGTACCAGGAAGCCATTGACGAGGCGCAAACCATCCTCTGGAACGGCCCTGCTGGTGTGTTCGAGTTTGACAAGTTCGCCAAGGGCACCAAGGCGACACTCGACAGTGCCGTCGCTGCTGCACAGAGCGGCAAGATTGTCATCATTGGTGGTGGTGACACTGCTACTGTTGCGGCCAAATACGGTGTAGAGGACAAGCTCTCGCATGTCTCGACCGGAGGTGGTGCGTCGCTCGAGCTGCTTGAGGGCAAGGACCTGCCCGGTGTCTCGGCCCTGTCGAGTAAGTAAACCAGTCACATAAAAACGGTGAATGATGGCTCAAGGCGAGAGAAGGTATATCGTCCAAGTTATGATTGTGTAGCTATAGCTCTTTCTGGTTCCAATGCTTGTGAACCATGCTGCAATGAATGTCCTTGACTGTGCAGCTCTAGACACGCGTGATGCTTTTGAAAATATGCCCCGACGACTCTAGCCCTATCATACCACAAATTATATCGAATGTCATGGCCGCATCCCGGTGGGGTGCTATCGTTTCGTCTTGTCGCAGTGGTGTCGCTCATTTGCCAAGCTTCTTCAGCTCCTCCCTGTACAAGGTCAGCTTCGGGCTTCTCATGGCCAGCCGTATCATTCTCACCTCAGCTGTACAGCAAACTCATCATTTGTGTCATCATCGTCCCAGCTCTCCTCCCAGAGGTGTGTGTTGCCGTTGGGGATTTGCGTCTCCTCTTCTGTCCAGTCTACACAGCCGTTAGCTCGAGTCGCGACCGACTTGTCCGAAAAAGCTTACCCTCTACGGGAAAGTCCTCAAACTCGTCGTCCTCCTCTAATTGTGTGGCGGCCTTCTTCTCGGGCGCAAGCGGTTGCTCGCCGTTCTTGGAGTCGCCGACGACGGCCTTCTTCATGTCGTTGCTTCCTTGTGCTGAGCCGGACATTACGAATGCTTTTTTGGGGGCGAACAGGAAGTATCTTGTTGTAGCTGAACGGATGACGATGGGGTTGCGCGGTCTTGTGCTTCGGTCGGTGTGGTGGTCGTGCGGCTCCAACGCGGGCGATTGTCCGCAGAGCTTAGCGCGACATCACGTGCCCATGGAAGCTGGTCCGCGGGGTGCTGGCATCCCCGTGTCACAGCTTGGCCCCGGGGACGATCTTATCAGAGGTAACTAGGCCGTCTACTGATTTTCCATTAACGACCCCTGCATCCTCGTATGTACTAGGGCAAACCCGCGCGTTGCACCGGAAAGCGAACAGCTGTGAGCCCTGCTAGCGAAGATGACGTACTGCGTTTAGCCCCGAAACGTCCGACGCAACTATAGGCGTATTGTCCGAGTGGACTAGGTTACAAGATTCCGCAAGACTATACTGGGGCGTTCGCCGTTCCGCCAGCATCTGCAGTAGACGGCACCTTTTCCCTTCACCTTACTCTGCCTTCTTCTCTTTCTATCTTTTTGTGGTGAGGCTCGCCTTGCCTCCCGTCCTTTTGATTCAACATGTTCAAAGTCGGTGGTTGGCTCAAGAGCCATACGCCAGGGCATGCAAAGAGCCTGGACTCTTTGGATGAGCTTGCACAGAGTAGGTATTGTAGCGTTCATGATCAAATGCATTTACTGACACACGATAGTACAGGATGCGATGAGTGGTATGAAGTCTCTAGACCGCCGATCCGAGCAGTGTCGCACACGGAGCTAACGGCACGCGAGCATAGCTGTTACCTACATTATGGCCGACGATATCGAAACCGCCGAAGAATATCTTAACAAGGGCAATTCACCTTTCCACCAGGTGCGCATTCATCTCTAGGCTGCAGCCAAAAGGGAGTGGGGTTGGGGCTTACGTGAGATAGCTAGGAGCGGGAGTATGCGTCTTCATAAGAGCAACATTAGGTTTCGAGCCGGAAATCGTTCGCGAAGGTCATTTAGATACCCGCTATGGTATCACTGACCTAGGCTGACATGTAGCGTAGCTGCCAACGCCTTGTACATAGCCGAGAACTCGGCCTACGAACAACAGCGACGTGCTAGCAAAGATCCCAGCTCGCATCGGTCGCCCATATATCCTCCAGGCACTGAATACGCGGTATGCATGGCCGAGGCACAATTAATGAGTGCTGTGGTCGGCGTGCTCAACGAGAGCTTGACGGAGGCCGTTAAGAGTTTCTACAAGTTGAGGAAAGCATACATTGCACTGGAAGCTGTGATGGAGAACGAGAAGAACTTTCTCAAGGAGAGGAGTACCAGCAGTATCAGCTCGTCAGGGTCCCGTGGCTCTGGCAATGCATCTGCTGCAGCGTCAAACTCTAGTCCCAAACAGACTACGACGGTCACTGGACCGGAGTCAAAGAAAGGCACCAAAGATGGCGATGATGACGAATTCGAATTCGTGGATGCCGCAGAAGACCGACCAAACGATGCGACACCTCCAGAGTACGCCGGTCACTTGAACGTCAATGCTGACAAAGATGCTTCAGTGGCAGTGGACAACGCTCAGAAGAATGTTGATATCAAGTCGAGTTCGGGAACGGCTCTCCGCACAGGAAGAGCAAAGTCGTCCTCTACGGCGAATGCCATTGCATATTTTGAGCAGCTCACGTTGAGCGATGACGGCGTGGATATTTCCACGTTTAGTGATCACCCGGTGGATGTCTTCGTTATTTCTGGATCCAACTTTTGCTTCGGAATGTTGCTGCTCATGCTCTCATTCATACCGCCTTCTTTTGCCTCCTTGCTGAAGATTGTCGGTTTCAAGGGGGACAGGGAGCGAGGTATGAAGATGCTTTGGCAGGCCACCAAGTTTCACAATATCCACGGCGCCATGGCTGGTGTGGTGCTTATGGGATACTTGAATGGTATCACAAACTTTTGTGACATTCTCCCCACCAAGGGCGAGGGCTCCTACCCCAAGGAGAAGTGCGTGGCTTTGCTTCGCTACATGCGCGAAAGATACCCTAAAAGCCATCTCTGGCTCCTTGAAGAGTCGCGAATGTTGGCATCGGAGAAAGAGCTAGAGAAATCTGTGCAATTCATGGCTACTGCGGGCGACTCAAAGCTCAAGCAGCTTAAGGCTTTGAGCTGGTTCGAACGCAGCCTCAACAACATGTATATGCATGACTATCAGGCCGCTGCCGCTGGTTTTGAAAAGTGCATTACCTTGAACAACTGGAGTCATGGACTGTACTACCACATCATAGCCTCATCCTACGTCGAGCTCTACCGACGAAATAAGACAACCGACCCGACGGAAGCAAAAGAATACGGGAAGAAAGCCGAAGAGTACTTCAAGAAAGTCGTCCCCAATACAGGCAAGAAGAAGTTCATGGCTCGCCAACTGCCGTTTGACGTGTTCGTTGCCCGCAAGGTGCAGAAGTGGGAGGCTCGCGCAAAAGAATGGAAGTGCGATCTGGTGGATGCAATCGGCGTGTCACCTTTGGAAGAGATGATATTTTTCTGGAACGGCTACAAACGAATGCGAGACGACCACCTTGAAGTTTCACTTGCCAACTTGGCCTGGAGCGAATCGCCGGCCAATCCACACTGGGGCAAGGAAGACGTGGACGAAAAGAGCATCCTCCATGTCCTCCGCGCAGCCACTCTGCGGAACATGAACAAGCCAGCCGAAGCCAAGGCCATTCTGGAAAAGGAGGTGCTGCCCGTCGACCGCACGCTTCTTAATGGAAACTTTCGAGACAACTGGACGGCACCGTGCGCACGCTACGAAATGGCCGCCAACATCTGGCGCGAGGCAGATGCTGACAGTCGCCCCGAAGAACACCCCCAGCTGCTGGTCCAATGCAAGGACTGGCTGGAAGAAGTGACCAAGTGGGGCGGCTACGATCTAGACGTAAGGTACGTTTTTTCTTCTCTCCGGTGACGTCAATGACATCATCACACAATACTAACGCTTCTGGACTAGAATCGGAATGAAGATTACGAGTGCCAAGGAGACGCTGAGGAAATACGGAATTCAATGTTAGACGTGTGTTTTGTTTATTGTTTGTTGGCATGGTGTGGGGGGGGGAAAGGAAAGTTTTCCAACAAGACTTTTCTTCACCCCTGTTGATATAGCGGGTGTGCAAAGTACATATTCGACAAAGCAGTGTACATGCTGGGTAAATAAGGAGAATATAGAGACATTACATTTAGATTGGTTTGAATGAATATATACGCACGTGATGTGTACCGTGGCAAAATGAAGGGCTTGTTCCGTTCAGTTTTTTTTCTTTACGGATTACGGATAAATAGTGTCTGGGCTGATGGAGGGTTTTTTTTTCTGTCCTTATATGAATACTTGGAAAAACTTACACTACACTGCAAGGTAGTAGTAATAGTGCACTAGAAGAGATTAACCTGAAACCTGGTCTATCCCTCGTCATGGCGTGTCGTTGTCGTTGTCGTTATGTTGTGTCAGTAAAGAAGGCCATGTATTTATTCACATGTCTGTTTTCCTTGTTTTTCATTGTTACAAGGATTCTAGGGGGGGGATCCATTCATCCTAATATATACGAGAGAGGCCTTGTTATTGTTCTCTTGCCTATCTTGTGTCTTACATTTTTTTTTTGGGGGGGGGGGGGGGTGGGGGTTTGCCACACGGGGTATTTGTCAGATGCGCGGGTTAATACAGCTAGAAGGGGATTTGTTGTTGTTATGAGGATTGTGTGGGGTTGGTGTGCATATGTATGTATGTATGTGATTATGAACATGGTGATGGAGAGTGGTGAGCCTGGTATGTAAATCCATGAACATGTGAGAAAAGACAGTGTGCTTGAGTGGCAATGTTCGGTCTGTTATTGCTTGGTATGGTAGTTCGGGTGGTTGTGGCAATGGCGGTTGTGGGTCTTTTGTCTTGGATTACACACACTGGATGCTTCCACACCTACACCTACACACAACAAGGCACCTCCGTTACGGCCGTTGGAATGCACAAGTGTTTTTCCTTCAGCTCGGCGGGTTTTGCTGTGCTGTTTGTAAGACACAGGCGAAAGACACGTCAGTTAGCTGAGCCAGCCAAGCAGAAAAAAAAAGTGTAGTCAGAGTTACCAGGATAGACAGTAGGATATCACGACCACTACAAGATTATGAGATGAACCACTGGCAAAAGATCACGCAATCCATGGAGCAAAGAGAATGAAACAGCCAGTCCTTGGTCTCACCACAGGGCCAGAAACATAAACCTGTGCACATTTGTGCTGACCAAGCATTGTATAAGCCTTGGTTTTGACGGACGGGTTTACTCACACACAAAAAAAATGGCCAGCAAGCCACACACGGCGCAACAAGACCAAAGGGCACCGAACAAGGCCGAAAAAGCAGCGTAATTGACCGACTAGAATCAACACATTTCCAAGTTCCCTTCCCGTTGCAGTAAAATAACCATGCTGTTGGAAGGGAAAAAAGACCAAGGGGGTGGGGAGGGGGCCTGAAGGGATCCAAGTGGCAATGTAAATCGGCCGAAGAGGCGCGGGCGGGCGGGCGGGCGGGCGGGCTGAGTGGGTGTGTGCATGATCCCGAAAAAGAAAGAGGAGAGCGGTGGTTGGGCAAGGCGGCCAAAGGAAGGACAAATAGGCCAGCGATAAAGGCCGACGCCGATGATGACCGGTCAGGTTGCTTCGGTCGCGGTCGGTGGCAGTGGGTGAGGGCAAAGATTGACGGGGAGGGGGGGTGAGGAACGTGGATAGGATGCCCAGGTGGTCCGAAATGGATAAACGTCCGATGGAGAAAGTCCGAAGTAATGCGACTGCAATCGACGGGCGGCCTGTTGTTTGTCTCTCTTCTTGCCATGTCTGGTAGTTGTGCGAGTAATTGGTGAGTGTGATTGTGATTGTGATTGTGGGAAGGGGGTGCGCCCTCGGGAATAAGGCATGGAGATAAGGCCGTGATGTAATGCCTGAACCCTTAGCACTTGCTAGCACCGCTACTAGCGAGCACAATGGCAATGGTAAGTGGTAGTGGTAGTGGTAGTACTATGTAATCACGGCAAGCCACCTCAGACATGGGCTTTGCCGATTCGGCATGCGGAACGGCATCTTGGGCGCGCGCCGTCGCCATTCACTTGAGAGCAACCAGACTTTGTCTACTTGTTACCGTCTACAGTGTGCTGCGCAGTACCGCATCCTCAGCATGCTGCTGCTGCTGCTGCCGCCGCTGCTGCCAGTCATTGTGCAGACGGAGCCGCATCCGTTTCTGGACTCAGGATTTGTGAATCGTGTAGGGCGTAATACCGCCGGTTTCGCCGCGCCGTGATTGACACGTACCTAAGGACATGGTGTAAGATTTGCTTGACGTAGCCCGGGAGTGGATCCGATAGGCGAAACAGGGGAAATCGGGGCTACACAGAATCCGGTACGGAGGTGACTGTCAGAAGTTATTGCTAGCGCCACGCTAAGCCGCTAGCCTATTAGCCTAACTCTTCTTAGCGCCTATACTAATTTTCTAAAGCTAGTAATAGCTTATATACTTATTTTTTTTTAAGTATTTTTCATTTGCTATAGCTTTAAATATAAATATATTAACTTACTTTTTTATTACTATATTAGAGTTACCTTTTAGTAGTAAATCTATATATGAAATTATTACAATAATAGGTATATTACTATATATAATTAACTTAATGTATAGTAAAGCCTATTAGTAAGGCTTTAAGCCTAATATATACTTAATTAAGATTCTTCTATAGTACTTTAAAGATACTCTATATATAAGCTACCTTTATAAATAAATAAGAATATATAATCCTACTTTTAAGCATATATATTATAATAAGTATAAAAAAAAGCTACACTAATATTACTAGTAATCTTAGTATTTATAGCTATAATACCTTATTACTTACTATATAGAAAGTTCTTTAAGTAGCTAGTTATGATAAAATAAAGCTATTAAAAAAGCTTAAGTTGATAATAAAAATAAAATAAAAAAGACTTTAGTAGTATCTTACTTACAAAGATTCAACACATAAAAATAAAAAAAACATTATTTAATTAAATAAGACTTTTATTATTTTTAACTACTATTATAATAACTATTATATAGAGTAATACTTAGATAAAGTCTTTATAAAAAGTATTATCTAAGAGTGGTAAAAGAGCTACTTTAAATTTATATTTTAAAGCTACTTTATATATAACGTGGTTCACAAGTAAGTTGCTAACCTAAGTAAGTCGCTAACGCCCCACTACTACATCTACATTAACACGTTATTATAGTTTTTTATTATAGTTAATAAATTATTATAATACACTAAATTAATTATCAGAATTACTACTATTACTTATACTTTCTATCTTAACTATATAGGTATAAGCGTTATATCTAGTCTACTTGCAACGCCTGTACTACTGCTCTCCTCGCACCCTCTTTAACGCACTCTTACTATTACTATAACTACTACCTACTTATTTAGCTAATACTTCTTATACTTTGCCTATAGTAAGAGTCTTTTCTATCTATATATATTACTACTTATAGCTTTTACGCTTATTTAACTTATTAAAAGCTGCTTAAAGTGTACTTATTTCCTCTATTATAAGCGTTATTTTATATGCTATTTACTAGGCCTCTTTACCTAGCTACGCAATCTACTTAGTAAGTAAATTAATAGAAGACTTATAGCGTTTTCTTACACTCTCTTAAATAAGACTAATTTAAGACTTAACTTCGCGCGTGTTGCGTGTAACGGGCTAAACGCCCTTCGCCTCCCATACTCGTCTACGACCTCGTTTACTCCACCTGCCCGGCCCGATTGTTACCCTAGCAACCAGCATTGTATATAGATAGCTACGTAGCCGAGAGCTTAGCTCTCTATCGAATACAATCTTGTTACCTTGGCCTGTCCGATCGTGCTCCCGAGCTTAAGACTACCCTCCGGGGTCGAGCCCCTTACATTGCGTAGTGTCTGCGCCTACTAGGTGGCTACCTATTGTAGTAATTATATAGGTGTCTACACCACTACATTAAGCTTAGATAGCACAGCTTATAGGTTGTGTAGGACTAGACTAGCGCCTCTAAAGCTAGCTTAGATATTCTCCTTTGTAATAGACTGCTTAAAAGTAGTCTTAAAGGCTAGTAGGAAGGTCTTTTTACTAATATAGTAGGTGTAGTTGCGTGCTAAGCCTAAAATAGCGTTGCTATACTACGC